GATCTGTAATATACAAGCGCTACAGCCGATTTGAAAGCTTCGTTCACAAGTTAATACTTATACACAATATTGTACAGATTTATAGTTTTTTTTTTTTTTTATTTGAACTTTGAATAATTATTCACTATAGTTTAGCAGGTTGGATGTGACCATCGGTACGCACTTATAGTGTTTTCAAGGCACCTTGCTTAAACCAGATGGTTGATTCATTTTATACCTTGGTACATAGGAATATTTTAAAACACCAGCAAACATATTAATTGTTATTAAAATGATATAAATATCGATTTTATAATAATAATAATAAAACATAAGTTAATCAAAATTATAGAATTCAGCTGGTTTTGAGTTCCATAATATAAATTATTATATATAATATATAGCTCCGATAAATTATTTTAAACGTCCGGCATCTGCATCTGTTTGCGGTTAGATATCCTGTAATGCTTATGGTCGACAGACAGATTTTATTTATTAAACATTATACTCAGCGTAAAAGAATTTCATAAAATTTGAATGTGAAATAAAAATACATTTTATCCTTTTGACTTTAAACACACTACTCGCTACCCACGAACTCATATAATCGTAAGAACATAGTTTAAACGTTTAAATAGATTGCATTTAAAATATTATTTTGTTTATCATCATTATATCATCATTAAATAAGTATGTAATATAATATTTTACTTATTACCTTTAAAAACCATTATAATTTTGAAAATTCGTTTTTTTTTTTTTTATGTAAGTCTTTTTGGGTTAAACGTGGAATAATAACAGTATAATGGATTCAGAATCAAAATAAAAATCAAAACGTATAATATTCATTTGAAATCCTACACAATTCTAATTATAGATACATTAAATATAGGTAAAACCTAAACTTCCGAATATTTTATTTTAAAACATATAACTGATTATTTTTTCACGCATACATTATACTTGTATTGTTTTTGTTTTTTTATTATCGACACAATATCTTTTAATATAAAACATAATAATATTGTCATAACTAATAAGCAGCGGATCAGACGAAAATACACGATGAGTCGTCTGTGAGCCGTCCTCGTTGAATGAGACGATATAAATGCATAAGTTCTAAGAACTTAGCATTTGCATAGCTGTTAAAATGTTTAAATTTAGGTATCTATATTTAGGAATCTATCATATATACGTTGTATTAGAAAGTTGTAATATTATAATTTGAACGTTCATAGGTACCCATCATTTTCTGATTATCATCGATATCTCCAAAAGTGTCGGCCAATGATTTTTTAAAATATTTACATAAGTACTTCGTTATGTGAATTCATAGTACAAAAATACTGTAGTGTATGTTATGTATTTATCAATAAACACCTATCATAGTAGATAGGTAAACACCTAGTTTTAGATTCTGGGAGTTTAATTATTAAACGCAGTATTATATACGAACAGAATTCTATTATTTCAAGAATAGATTCTCGAGTGTAGCGAAGAAATTATTCGTGTTATTCAGACAGTTTTTTTCTTCTCGGTTAGGTTGGCAGCATTTTTTCGATTAGTAAAAATTGTCCGATTTAATATCTTAAAAGATGCGGATTTTTCGCCTGATTATATTTTATTTGAATACATTTTCAAGATTCCTGGTAATTTTTCCAAAAAAAAATCACAACAAAATATAACAACACATCGGTTTTATTTTTGTTGACTTCTAGGTTACAACGGGGGGGGGGGGGGAGGAAACTATCGATACTTATCGGTTTAATGAGCTCCGCTCATAATCGTATTTAGATTGCAATGATTTATCGTTGATTTTGGTATAAAAACTAAAATTTAACCAGCCCAATATCTTATATTATAACACATACCATTCTAATTGTCCAACTAGAACAGTGGCCTACCCAATGGTGCGAAGTAGATTCGAATTTGTTTGTTTTACGCTTAAAAACTAAATTAATTCATAATTTTATTATACTGTATGTCATTGCATATAGATTTTTTGAGGACAATTACAAATTAAAAATTGTATAATTGGTACGAATTTCTCTGTTTCATTTTAGAGATTAGGTATGTATTTTTTTACGACTTATACTAATCATAATAAAACTACGTTACGTATTTTCAGTAAACTTTTTTCCGTTTGGGTATCCCTGAGACGCGCGAGTCGAACAATAGGTTCCCGAAAATATCACCCTCGTCTAAAAACGAGCATACGTGTATTCAATACGAAAATAGACCCTTGGCTCTTCTGATAATGAATTCCCGATTACTTATATATTTTTTTTTTAATATAATATTACTGTAAACAATATGATTCCACTGTAAAAGGTGAACCACTGCACTATAATATATTTGATGAATTTTATCGCTTTCATATGAAAATCTAATCGTTCAAATATAATAAAATGCACAACAATATGATATTATAATATGTATAAAATATACATAACATACATAGGTAACAATTGCGATTTCGATAAATAAAATAAACAATATTGTGTAAGCATATTATTATTATTATTATGAAAATAAAATAGATTATTATATTATACAATAACCTATAATATAAATATAGTATTATGTTAATTGGTCGGTTGTTTAATATACTCGTTCACTAATAATTTTTTTTTTTTCAACTTCTTAAGAGTATACAATACGAGCATTGGCGCAAGCAGTTTATTACAGTATTTCATAATGCCTTCATTAAGGGGTGACTTAATTTGTATATTCTTGAAACGAGGTGTGTTTAAATCTGGCTAATAAGGAAAAAAAAAGGTTCTCAAATATTTGATTTAACTCATAATATGGTCTTTGGGGTCCCAGGGACGTGCCCCCCCCTTTAATCCGGGCCTGTATAGGTTATCTACTAATTGATGTAGATAAAATGCGTATAACCTACTCCAGGCGGTCAGAAATAGGCAATAGAAATTGTATATATCATCATGTTCAACTATATTCTTATTTTTCCTTTATATTATGTTTAAAAGATAATATTGTCGTCGTTGTTATATTCTGGGTATAGGATTTCGACTTGAATAGCGTATTCACAAACGATCAGTTATTTGTATACCCGGCTCTAACTTGTTATTCGTCCGTATTCGAACATTGTATCAAGTCAATTTTGATATTGGTTTTCATTTTCAAATGTGACACTATAAAACGTATTTTGAGAACCCCTGTAGTAGCCAACACGCGTGTGAATAACGGCGGGAATATTTTTTTTTTCTGGTCGGGTTTGTATTGTGCGCGAGGAGGGCCCGAGTGCGTTTTCGAAAACCGGCTCGGGGACGTGCCACGTGGGTTCCTGCGGGCCACGCCGCCGTGACGAAAGTCCTACCCCACGGGCGCCGAAAATCGGTAAATTAAAAAAAAAAAAAACAAAAAAACATAGGTACGCGGCCGACAGAGACAGATACGTGTAAGACAAGGCGGCGGAATAATAAACGTCTATACAACGGTGAAACGTTCTTCGGTTATGGGAAAGGAAAAAAAAAGAAAAGAGACTGAAAACGGTAGAAAACCGTGCGCCAGTGATTTCGGTTACAGGACCAACAAGAATTATTATTACCGCCGGGGTGTTCGTCGTCGTACATAATAAGATACGAAAATATAATATTATTATTATTATTATAGTCCGTCGGGCCCGCTGCGCGCCGTACACAACAGAAGAGAGAAACCCGAACCGAACGGCGGCGGCGGCGGTGTAATAACCGAAGCGACCAACCGGCGGCGGCGGCGGGCAAAACGAGCGACAGCCGACGAGCGTAGCGGCGTCGTCTTTCCCCTATATATACGTGCGCACAAAGGACCCCGCGCGCGCCTCCGTGTCGTTTCCCCGTCGCCACCGACGACCCGTCGCTCCCACCGAGCCCGACGGCGGAGGTCATTTGATACGGTGTGCGGCGCTCGTGTGCGTTGCGTTGCGTCGCGTTGTGTGCCGTGTACGCGCCCGTTCGCCGCCTCCCGTTCCCCCGCGCTTCGTACTACACGGTCCACCGGCACCGTGTATACAGAGCGATTTTTTTTCTATTTATTTTTTTATTTTTTTTCCATTACCGCGACGATCCACGGAGATTTCGAGTAAAACCATCGATCCTGGTCTTTTTCCTCTCGATCGTTTAGTAACGAAATTATTTACGACACACTCGAAATGTCACCCTTATTCTCCGTACACCGCCGGCACAATACGCGGATCCGGGTGTTTTACTTCCCCTGCTCGTTTTTCCACGTCGATACGAAAGGCGGAATATTTTTTAAAACGTTTTTACGCACGAATTTCGGTTATCGTCCAAAAGTGGACACGGAATTTATGATGGTGTACGAACGTGGTTTTCTCACCGAATACTATTTTTCTTTTTTACACATTTTGACGACAGTAAACGACAATAATATTAAATTATTTACAAAAAGATATTAGATTTCGTTATTGTCAATTTCAATAAGATATCGCAGGGAAATACAATTTTAAACTTTGAGGACAACATACTTTGATAAAATTCAATTGTGTCTCTACACAACCAACTCGTTATCGCTTACGTATTTCAAAATACGAAATCCGGGGGTGGGGGCAGGAGGAGAGTGCTATTCGCGAGGGAAAATGTCCTAAATTCGAAATGTTATTACCCTTCGCCGCTCTTCCGGTCTGAATTTTAAATCGTTATGACAGCCATAAACGAAAAATAAAAACGTTCGTTTCGCATCGACATTTTACGATAGAAAAATAAAATCGATATTATTTTAAGGCGCGTGGAACGGAGGGGGACGAAAACGGTTCGTTAACGCGCCGTTTAAAATATATAGGAAAAACAAAAAAAAAAAAAAAAATCAAAAACCGTATTCGCGATGGAAACGCCACGCTTCGGGAAAATCGACGGATCGCGGCGCGGCCGCTATGAGAACCGCCCTGTATGCTCGGCCGCTGTTTTACCGACGACGATGCCGTCGTCGTCGTCGTCGTCGCCGCCGCCGCCGCCGCCGCCACTACCACCACCGCCGCCGGATTTCGGGGGCCCCGACGGCCGACGCAGCCTGCCTGCGTTCGTGTCCGTCGCCACTCGCCGCCGCCGACGTTTTACCCACCAGTGTTCCCGTACTCGTATCGAACCGCATATTATACCGCCGCGCAGCACGTAGAGAGAGAGACACGCTCGCACGCAAATAAAATATATAAAAAAAAAAAATAAAAAAAAAAAAAAAAAAAACGTTCTTTCAGTATTTATATACGTATATATATATATACATGCATATATTTATATACGCACACGCGCGCGCGTATTTTTCGTCCGTCCGTTTTTCGTCCGCGTCGGTCAGTTCGGTTCAGTACGGTATTACAGCAACGCGACGATAATACCCACATTACCGCTGTACGCTGCTGTATTGAAAACTGGCGTCTCCGCCGAGTCCGAACACGGTGTGTAATACTGTATAAAACCGACATAACGCAAAAACGGTTTGTTTTTCGATTTTTAAATATTATTATTATTATTATTTTTTTTTTTTTTTTTTTTTTTTTTTTTTTATTTTTTTAAATATTATGTGAACCCGACGTTCGCACACCGCCAACCGCCGCCGCACACGAGACACCGGTAAAATCGAAATTTTTTTTTTTTTTTCTGTTTTCGATAAACCAACAGCCGATTACACAGCACGCTCGCCAGTTATTATTTTTTCCGCCGTTTCGAGATCGTGTTATTTTTCCCGTCGTCGACGCACGGTTGTCGTTTCTAGCCGAGCCGCAATTGTAATAAATCGCAATTTTCTCGTCACGTCACGTCACGAACACGCACCAGACAACGAAATGAGCGTAATGGACACGGCTACGTTTTTCGTCGAGGGCACCGCCAACCAATTCGAACACGTACTCTCGTTGTACCCGCAAGCGTTGCGCCTGAAAGCCGAGAGCAAGACGAAAAAACCCGAAGAGCTGATCAAACTGGACAACTGGTGAGTAGTTGGCGCGCCGCCGCTCCGGACGCGTGTAATAATAATGATAATGTACCCGACGATATAACATTAAAAATATTTATTTACAATATTATTATTATTATTATTATTACTACTACTACTACTACTACTACTACTACTACTACTATTATTATTATGTATTATTACTCTCTTATCGGGTTCGCGTACGCGGACATCCCCGCCGCCTCATTACTCCGTGTCGGTTGTAGCGCTATGCACATTGTTATATTGTTGTTACCAGTATCGGCTACAACGCGACTATTGTACACCTAGGTATATTATAGTAATGCTATTAATTTAGTGTTGTTTTTTTTTTCCCCTCCGTCGCGGTTTCGCAACGTGCATTCGGCACGCTCTGTATAGTTCACGCGCGCGGTTACGGGCCGCGCGCTCGGTTAGGTTGGCAAGGCGGTCGCCCCGCCGCCGTCGCCGCGTACCCAATCGAGGCCGTGATGACGTTAACGATTTCTTTGTGGAGAAAACACCGTCGCCGTTGTGTACTTATTATATTATTTTTTCCTATATATTTTACGAACACACACACACACACACACACGACACGAAAAATATATAATATTATTATTTTTATTGTAATACCGCGCACTATTTAATTAATAATTTCCCCCCCCCTGGTAATTTCGTATACGGCGGCGGTCGATTGACCGGAAAAAAAAAAACTGTATAAAACAATGCGAAAACGTCCGGGCGTACGTACCTACGACAATAATTATTATTGTTTGCAATATTTGCCCCCTCCCATCCCCGAAAATTCACGCAATAACATTATCAACGGGACCGTATTATTTGTTTTCGAAACGGCGTAATCCTAAAACTATTATGATAATGACGACTATACGATAAGTATTATTATTATTGTTATCGGACACATACAGAGCGGTCGCCGTATCAACAACGTTGTCGCCATTTCGATTCGTATTTTATCAAGACGCCGTCGGTATTATTATCTAATCTATAGTAACTGTTATTGTTATTTACCTAGGAATACCTATTGTTTTAAATCGTATGATTTTATTTATCTTTTCTCTACAATCACAATTTATATTTAATCAGTCGTTGCACGATACTGCTTTCGATTATAAATACACTATTTATACTACTACCCGGTATAGAAATAATGTAGTTTTTTTTTCAATATTCCATTAGGTCCTCGTTTAAACGTGATTGAACTGTTATCTCTAAATTTAAATCGATTTTCAATTTGGTAAAGTCGTTTTTTGTATTACAAAAAAAAGTATTCATCTAATCGATTCGGAGAATTTTAAAATATAACCTTTGTTTTTTTTTTTTAACATAGGTACAACATTTTTTATTTCTCATATTTTAGGTTGTTTTTTTAACAGCAACAGACATTTGAAAATGTATACCTAAATAATAATAATTAAGTTTAATTATCAATGGATTAGCGTTAGATAATATATTTAGAATAGTTTTTTTTTTTTTTTATCAATATTTATCTAATTTCTATGTTAATCAAATTCATAAATTCATTCATTGCATTTGAGATAAAAATAATTTAATATTTCGATATCAATACTTTATATTAAACTGCCTACAAGTTAATTTAATTGAATATCTTTTTGGTTTAATTAATTATCATAGCATGTAATCAGATAGAAATTTCTTTAGTTGGAAAACATAAACAAGTACGTTATATCCAAGAATTTTGACAATGTCAATTTGTATGGTCTATCTACCTATGTCAATTGTTTTTAAATGATATTTATCAGATATTAGAGACCCATAATTGATTATATTTGTTCTCGATGTTTAATTCAATTGAAATGAGAATTTTGATAACCAAAATAATTGGCTTCTATGTAACTCATATAGGTATACCTTGGTATTTATTGTTTTAAATGTTAATTTGTTTATCAATAAACATATTAGATAAGGATCTATAATTTAAATTTTAATGTTATGAAAGATAATTCAAAAAAGAAGAAATAATATTTTAAATTTTCAGATTAGATTCTTCATTATAGAGAATTATTTAAATTAAGTGTATTTGAAAAAAAAAAAATAATACTCTATTTATTTGATATAGGTATCAAAATGAGCTGCCAGGGAAAATCAAGTCCAGAGGAAAAGATGCACATTTAAACCATGAAGAACTTTGCCAAACAATGAAATGGAAACAAACTGTAAACAGTTAAAATCACATATATTGTTTAAAATAATTATTAATGATGATTTTTTGTTGTAGAGAGGAAAAACTTTTCCTCAATTGAATTACTTAATCAAAGTAAATACTCCACGTGCAGTTATGGCGGAAACAAAGAAAGCTTTCAAAAAATTACCTAATTTAGGACTTGCTATTACAGCGTTAAGTAATTTGAAAGGAGTTGGAACAACAATGGCTTCAGGTAAGCATTAATATTATAAAATTGAAGTAGTTAAGTGTATATTACATTTAAATTTTGTTTTTAATATTCCATAATTCTGTTTTTATTAGCTTTGTTAGCAGCCGCTGCACCAGACAAGGCACCTTTTATGGCTGATGAATGTCTAAAAGCTATTCCTGCTATTGAAGGAATTGATTATACTGCTAAAGAATATTTGAATTTTGTAGCTCATATTCAAACTAAGGTGGAAAGGCTTAATGGTGAATGTGAGTAATAGTTATCTAATATAATTTTATAAAATATTTTTAGTTTTTAATTTCATTGAAATTAATTTGGAATTACAGGCGGTGACAGTAAGTGGAATCCACATTCAGTAGAATTAGCATTATGGACACATTATGTAGCGAATGAATTTAAACCAGAACTCTTGAGTAGTGTTCCAGAAGCTTGTCAGAAGCCAATTAGTGAACAACCAAAGACAGATGCTCATGTTAATGGCAATGTTAATCAAACAAAGGTTTTTATAATTTTATTGTGTCAGTTATGTTATTTATTATTGTAACCATTAAATATATTTGTATCATACATAGTTAGACGAACCAACATCAGATGAAAGTAATCCTGAGCCGCTCCCACCTTCCAATGGTCACCAACTAACCATTGAAGATGATTCCCGTGATAAGTCTGAAGATGACATCACCAATGACTCTATAACAACATCAGAATCCGCTCAAACGCCACTCGCTGAAGCTTTAACAGAGGATTCATCTAGTTTACCGGCACCTGACGAACCACCTGTAAAAAAATTCAAAAATGAAGTCCAGACGGTGGCTGCAGAAGCCAATGGAAACTAACAATATGTTGTAACTGATTTTAAAATTAAGCCAAATGGACCATCGTAGGTTTACAATTTTAATGACGAGTTAACATTGAATATTAAAGAAAAACATTGTTTGAAACAGCATAAATTGAAGAAGAGAAAACTCTTATATTTATCAGACTTAATAATGTAATTATAACTTGCAGTTTGATTTACGTATAAAATACTTCACCATTTTTTAATGGTCGATAATTTTATTTATTTTAACTCATACATTGAAAACTCGTAAATATATTTTTTTTATACTTAGATTTTATACAACAAAATAAATTAAGTCTGTAATATTCTAATTTGTTTTATTCAACTTAGTTATTATTGTATGATTGAAATATTTGACTGTAAATACAATTAATGATAATTATATATTATGTTAAGGTTTATGGGAATAGAGGGATGTCTGAATAGTATGAAATAATAATAAAAGTGCACCTTAGGAAGTAATTTTTTTCTAAGATTATTGTATTTTATTGAAAATGTTAAATTGTTATGAGGGAAGAGGACAAGGGAAACTTGCTTTGAAGGAAATAAAAAAAAAATCATATATTTATAAATATATGATGTATGTATATACATAAATAAGTAGTATTAATGTATCGGATCTGCACCATATTTATTATAATAAGTTAACAGCAATGTTGTTAATTTATGTACTTAAATGAGGAACTGCCTTTTAGGAATTTTTTATGTTTTAGTTTTCTTTTTTTATTTGTTCTAAAAATAGTACAAACAATTATTTACATTCCGTTAAATTGAAACTAATTTTATTTTAGAATTTTGGGGGGGACAAAACTTAAACAATAATTATAGGTTTCTGTAAGATATATATTTTTTTAGTAACAGTATGTAACAATTCTACTTTAAATGTAAAATCTTATGATTTTTTTTTTTTTTTTTTTTTTTGTTAAAAACGGTACATTTTAATATAATATATATTAAATATTATTTATAATACAGCATGACTATTTTGTACGTGTGTATATAGTAATTATATACATAATATATTCCAGTAAGTTTGTCGTAGCATTATAAATTATATAATACTAATATATTATGTATAATAATTATATAATTTTGTGATTGGTAAATTTGATATCTGTAAATCCAACACGGTTTATTAGAACTTGACAACCAGTTATCTAAAAATAACTTCGTAAGATATAAAATGTATCAATTCAATGGCATTTTAATTTTTTATTTCATCCCATAAATAATTGTATTACAATTTATTATGGAGCTTGAAATTCAATTTTCTCAAAAGCAAAAAGAAACGTTAATTAATAATGTTATTAATTAACGAGTATTATCAATTTTTTTTAGTTGTGCATTAAATGACTGGACGTGGGTAGAAAATTTATTTACAGAAAAAAGATATCACTGCTCAGAAATATTCTATTTCTTAAAAAATATGGAATGTGCATATCTTCATTTATTTTGAAATTGATACAAATGTTATGTTTCAAAATATTTTTAGTTTTAAAACTTATTATAACTTCCTTGTCTAAATCTAATGTGACAATATTATCCTAAATTAAGACCTTCAATCTTTGTGATTTATAGATTGTACTTGGAGGAAATTAATCTTTTTCTAAAGAAAATGTATATTATATAATGTTATAAAAAACAGAACAATAATCATTCTACAATAAGTGTTCTAACATGAATAGAACTGACATTTTTATCAATTTATTTTTTAAAATATTATGGACATTATCTTATTTAAATTGAAGTATTGCAAATAATTAAAATAAAATAACATTAAGCATTTGTTTGAAAAAAAAATATTTTAAACATTTGTATAGGGATATATGACTGGTTTTTATGATAAACATAATTAAGTGTATGATTTTATTAAAGAGGAATGAAAAACTTAATTTTTAGAAGTAAAATTAATTCAAATGAATAAAACAAAATTGTTGGGTATATTTTTCAGTAGAAATCATCAAGGTTAGTAAGTATGCATAATAGTTCCATACAAACAAATTTTTTATCCCAAAACTTGCTTACAAAATCCTTAAATAAGGGGTATCAAGTAGATAATCATTTATACTGATGTTCAAAAAATGTTTGATAAAGTAAATCATACGTTAGATATTATATCATAAATTTAAAACTTTCGGATTCGGAGGAAAATGTTTAAATTGATGTTACTCTCATCACATTAATTGTATACAATCAGTAAAATTCTCGTTTCACTACTCTGATTATTCAGTGACCTCGGGCGTTCCGCGGTGCTCTCACCTAGGGGCCAGGACTATAACTAAATATTCTTTATTTTTAAAAATGATCTACCATCGGTCCTTGATACCAATATTAATATTTTGTTTGTAGATGATGCAAAATTATACATTGATATTAAATTTGTTAATGATGCTAATATTTTATAATCAAGTATTAATAAGTTTTGCCAATGGAGTGAACAAAATCTTTTGCTTCTAAATATTAATAAATGCCAAGTAATTTCAGTATTAAATTAATAAATATTCTCTCGATAAAATAAATTCTATTAAATACTTGGGTGTCTACTGTGAAAATGATTTATCGTTTAAATTGATCGTTAAATAAATAAATAAATAAAATCATAGAATATGATTATAAACAAATTATATAAAATACTAGGTTCTATCAATAAAAATAGGAACAAGTTTAAAAACACTATACAGATGGTTTTTTTGTACCGTGAACCAGATATAACCAGATATGAATCAGTCATAACCTTTTTAAGTTTAACCTTACGAAAAAAATGTGATCGGATGCGAGTGAGAATGATATGAAGACGGCAGGTGTATACGTGGACGATGTGTGTGCTACGGTCAAGTGGAAGTTTAGAACGAGGGTGGTTGACCCCAGATAGTTGGAGTGAAGCTGAAAAAGAAGATAATACATGATAAAAGACTAATTGACAGTTAAAATAAAAATAGGTCCTTTAATGTTTTATCGTATGACACAGCGCGTTGTCCAAAAAAATGATTATATATAAATAATGTACTATTTTTATTTTTTTCGGTTTTAGTCTTCTTTCATAGATTGTGTGTTTCTCGTGGGCACTTATTTCCAACCACTTATAGTGGGTGGAAATAAGTGGGAGGGGAGGGGACGGAAATAAAATTGTTTCGGGGCGCATATATTCTAAATACGCTACTACCCACGAGAAACACACAGTCTACGAAAGGAAGACTAAAACCGAAAAAAATAAAAATTATACATCATTATTACAATCTTATACCTTCTCTCCATCAATGATGCTATTAAGTGTTATGCATTTTGTGATATAAACAAAAATTAATACATTCAATAAGACTGCCACCCCTAAAAAAACTGTTCAAATTTTGCAGCTGGGGTCATTCGCCCCTCCTAAATGCGCTTCTGCTCGTAGGCCTTATAGGTACAATTAAGTAATAGTGCCAAATGGTTATACAGCTCTGAATGGCGACTAGCCTGTGACTTACCCATGGACTAGCCTAACAGTCCGTAGACCTATCTATTCTGGTAAACAGACGTTTCGTTTCGGCAATTATTAAGATAGGACGTTTGATCCCGGGGAGTTATTAGCCATAGTTTGGTCCCCGGCATATTTTGATTATAGGACATTTGATTTTCAGGTTTTTTAAATCATTATTATTTATTAATTTCTTTAAAAGTTCATTCTACGTTTTGATTGTAACGAATATTTAAAATGTATAAATAATGTTAATTTACATAAAGCTTTTTATTTTAAAAATAAGAATCAAATACTTTAGATTTGTTAATAAATAATTAACATATGTTATTATTACCAATAATTATTTTTTCTAAACTTGAAACATAAAAATATTGACCATAGAATTTAGTTTCAAATGTACCATTCAAAAGTTTTCTAAAACTATTACTTGTTTCGTATAAAATTTAAAATTTTTGGCTTATAAATTATAAACGATTATTTTATCTGTCGTAAATAATTTATTTGCCCTGTACAATATATTACGAGTGGTTTTATAAATGGTTAGCAACACTATTGTGTGAGTGTTCTTGATTTTTCGTTAAAAAAAAAAAAATACTAACTGGTAATTTCCTTGAAATGGGCGTAACTTTTTTATTTCTCCCGGGTGTTAAAATGTTAAGATCCGGCTCTGGGAGTATGAATGGTGAAGAAAATTCAGAGCCGTTTTTATTTTATGACAACAAACGTAATGAAAATCGTATTTTAATTTTCTAACATTTTCTACTTGCCCTTTCCAAATTAAATCAAGTTTATTATAAATTACACTCAAGTAGGTATAATTGTATTATTCCTGTGGGCTGTGGTGTATGCTTCATGATTATACATTCGTATTTATAGTATTGCCAATTAAATATTAAATTGTTTATTCAAAATTAATGTCTTCATTTTTTAGTGAAATAATAAACTTTTGAAGAAATTAACAAATAATGATTTAAAAAAATCTGTGAACCAAATGTCTCATAGTAAAAATATGCCGGAGACGAAACGTCCGTGAACTCATTTTTTGACAGGGACGAAGCGTCCACGATCGCTTTTATATCAAATCGTTGTTTATTATCGATTAATATAAATGTTGAAATATCGAAAACGCCTCATAAAATGATTTTGTTTGTATCGTGGACATATGCGTTAATAGGTATGTAATTACTTAATATTTATGATTCGTATGTCCTTCCACCGCAAAAAATAATCCGTGGTTATATTTTCCATTTCCCCGAAGAAAAGTGGTAATGATAAACAAAAAAAGTTTTAGATATTTTAAATAATTCGGAATTTTTTCCTGAAAGCCATATGTAGGGGCGCAAACAGAATAAATCACAATTAACATTATAAAGCACGATAAAAACACTTTTAAAACCATTTTTTCTGAATTAGGTATCGGTTTTGGTTACAAACAGTTAGGTACATACAAAAATAAGGATACCGATTATTGGTTGACTGTAGTTGTTTAATTATTTCGATTACCGGCAATGATTTACATTTATCACTTCCGACTTTTCAAAAATGAAAGCGGTTATCTGTTTTTAGTTCATAGATTATTACCCGGTTTTAAGCCCCGAATAAAATTATTAAAAAATAATTAATACATTCCTATTATATTCCAGTTGTTTTAGATTCTGAGTGTAGTGAAGAATGTATTGGTTTTACTAAAATGTTTATTTTTTATTTTTTTATCACGTGTACAAAAATTATACCAGAAATCTTGCTCAGATATATTCAGGCGGCACCATTTCTGAAAGGTAAGGTGGTCCAGATGGTACTTTTGGGAAGTAACTTTTTGATTTTCCAAGCGGTTTTTATAATATCCGGGAAAAAACGTAAGAAAAATAGGAAATTGATGAAAATAATGCTTTTATTATTTTATAAATTTGTTATTTGTTCTAATTCAGTTACAAATATTCGTATAGACTTGAAATTTGGACAGAAAACTTGTATTTGCCTATTCTAGATGTGATAAAATTTAAAAAAAATTAAAGCAATTTTTGAGCTATTTAAAGACATTTTAATTTTAAGAATATTGCACGTAATTTTTATTTGGTAGGTACTCTGTGGTAAAATTGTTAGACTTGAACAGAAATGTTTGAAAATTTAACAGGAGGTTCATTAAGAGTCTTACTTTGTAGTCAAAGAAAAAAAATTAAGTTTAATGTAGCATTTTTTTTTTTTATAAGGGAATTTTAATATCGAATTTTTAGAAAAATCGTTTGAGTAAAAAATTATGTGGAACAAATCTAATTTTTCAATTTATTTTCTTTTTAAACATATGTATACTGCTGATTTAAGAACGATGGTAAAATCTGAATTAAGAGGACTGACAAAGTTTCAAAATTATAGCTTTTTGAAGTTCTGGTATTATATGTAATGTTAAATAACTCTATATTATCACTCTTAAAGCATATTTGTCGTGTCTAATAGTTATTTATGCCTATTACCATCCTAGGGATTCCGAATTCAAACCAGTGTGTAGAAAAAAATTTTTTGCATTTCCTTTCCCTTTATTTTAACAAGGGAAAACGGGACAATGTACGAATTATTTTTTCCTGTGAACAAATTTTCTACCAGTAATTTTACTCCGATTTACTATGACATTATTTTTTCTGAAGGAAATTTGACTGGGAAGGTACTTTAAAGAGGTAGTTTTTCAATTTTCCAAAAAGTTTTCCCAGAAAATGTGAAAAACCAGGAAAAAACATAGGAAAACAGGGAAAAACGATACAATATTAAATAAATATTGTTAAGGAAAATATATAATGCCTATTTAATATAATATTTACTATAATATAACATATTATATATTGTTGAATAAACATCACTATCAGCTGAACTGGGCTCAGAATCGTTTTTTCGTTAGCAATGGTTTATCGTTGCTTACAGATATACATTAAACTACCTATAATAGTGTATGCACTCATCTGCATTATCCTAGGACGTATTTTTTTAGATTCCGAGCGTAGCGAGGGAGCTATTGGTTTAACTAAGATGTTTTACTTCTTTTTCTTTCTTTCTTCTAATCTGTGGACACGTTTTTTCCTTGTAAACTTGCTCCGATTTTTACATGTAACATCTTTTTCTGAAAACTCAAGTTGTTTTAATTGTACTTTAAATAGATCGTTTTTTGATTTTCGATGGCATTTTTTAAATAAAAGCATTTAAGTGGGAAAACGTAAAATTTCACGATTTCATTATTTTATAAATAAAACGAACGACGTTCTCTACGAGAAAAAATGATTTAATCGAAAAATTACAGGACACATATTTTGTTGCATTTTTGATTTACTTTTTTACGGTATCATCGCCAACATTTTTGAATTTTTAAGGAATTTTAATTTTTGTTTAATTTGGTTATAAATACACGAAGAGACATGAAACTTAGTAATATTACTTATGTTAGACTTACCTAGACGTGGTAAAATTTCCAAAAATAATCGGACGAATATTTTTATTTAGTAAGCGTCTTGAAATCAAATTTAAACGAAAATCGAAACAAAAATTACAGCACTTCAAATTATGTGTTACCGAACAGCGCTTGAAATCGTCTTTCGTTAAGCAATGGTTTATCGTTGCTTACAGGTATAAATGAAATAACCTTATATATCCTACCTTCCCAATTTCTGACATACAACAGTGGCCACTCCCATACTCAGTATCAGCTCTATTTTTTTTTTTTTATTTTAACTGTTGGAAATGTAAAATAGTGTCTCAAATAAAGTAGATTAGGTACTGCCAGTGGCATATAGGGTTGAGTTTGAGGTACCCCCAAATTTTAAGATTGGTACGGCACACCCTTATTTATGAATTTATTGAATCTATGTATTAACAAAAACACAAAAGCTTTTTTATTACACCCCCCTTCCCTCAAATCAATTTCTGTATACGCCACTGGGTACTGCAGCTGGATATAGAAAATCCACGTCCTTCAATAAGGTAAGGTTTGATTAGGAGTATTTTCACTCGTTCACTATTCGAAACGAAAAATTGCTTTCCGAAGCCCAGTCTAGCGGTGGCCACGGAACCCGGTCCGTTTTTACCCCCAACGGCATCTATAGGCTTTTGATGGCACGACTAAAGCGATATGCATAGAACGTTCGTACCGAAATTCTAACTTGTGTTCACTTTGGTGCCGACGTCAAGTATATATACCGCCCGGCAACCGTATGTGTTAGTGAGGTCCTGCGTGATTCAGCCAATTCGCCGCATCGGTGAGCATCCTCGCCCAAGTGTTCTCCGTTACGGCGCATTATTATAAGTCCGCGAGTTCCATACACTGTTAACGCACGAGGTTACCTCTCGGTGTTGGGGAACCCTGGAGGAGACGTTGTGCGTTCTTGTAGGCAGGCGGCCGAATTTGTCTAGAGAGTGGCAAATTCGTTAAACTTCTGATCGTGACAACACCTCTGTGTTATGACCCGGCCATGTGTATACTGCGTACAGGAAAGTCCAGCACCGCGTTGGCGCGCAACAACATGAGTATGTTGTTGAACGTGCCATAGAGCGGGCTGCCCTCGTCGAGTATTACCATCCGACGACCACAGCCGATCAACTTGTGCAAACGGTGGGCGGTACCCGTTAAGTTCTGTGTGAACATCCGTCATTCCATCACGGCCGATACTGGACGCAATTTCCCCAGACCTCCGCAAAAAACTTTTGCTGTTTTTTCCAAAGTTTTTATTTTTTTATTCTCACTCAATCGTACGAAGACTATTTTTGTTTTTTTTCCCCTTCAACAATCAACGACGACAGAGAACAATTGTCACGTGGTCACCGATTGTATTCATTTTAATTNTTCTCCAACACGGTATCCGTTAAAATCTTTAACTGTGATTTCTTCTTTGTTTGGACAAAATTAAAATTTGTACACATAATGGAATATTCGAATTTAAAATAAACAAAACAAAGGTCCGATATGTAAAATAGAAATTGAATAATATAATTATGTTCAGGTACTAATATACTATTATGCCCTGAATATTACATAGGTACTACCTACTTAACTAATTAATATTAACAGGGTGTACATTTCCATTCCTGTATAACAGTAGTATTCCACAAGAAAATTCAATATCAGCCTATTATATTTTAACACGCTCAGGTAACCATAGACCAAAAAATTGATTATTACATTATTCTAGTCATTATAAAATTAATATTATGAAATTGATAAATAATTGAAGATTTTTTTTTTTTTTAAATCAATAAAACATATAAATTAACTTATTTAATAACATTGGTTTTAAAATATTAACACACAGATTTTCGTAATAATCAGGTATTAAAATAGTTATAGAACTAAGTATTTATTTAAATTCCAAGAATTAAACTCGATAAAATTAATGGGGATAATAAAAAGCAACTATATTTATATCAAACATTGTTGCATAATCCCCAAAACATTAATTACCTAGATTTTAAATAGTTGACCAACTTGGGTAACCTTCTTGCATATCTATATTAAATGCCTACGCTAAACAACCGTTTTTGCCCATTACTTCTTCTCATATCAAAATATGTTAGCTTCAAAAACAAAAAAAAATTGGCCATAAGAAAGGCTCCTCAAACCAATCTGGACATATAGTATTCTTCATTATTCAGGTATGGAAAGCAGCTTAACCCACAAATATTATAAATATTCCAAATTCCTAACGCAAATACCTTCATTAAATTTCCAAAGCCTTGTACTAGGTCTTAAATCATACTCTCCAGACAGATCTATTCATTCCAATATTAGAAAATGTTGCCGAGACATTCTACAAACGCATACATTGCAACATTCTCAACAAACGCAATTCCTTGACCTCAAAACTGTTTGTGGTTTATATCCTGGCTTGTTAATTTATTTCATTTGACAAATTTAATTTTCCCAATCTAACAAATATGAAAGACAAATATTACAAGTTATTTATAAGTATTTCAAAATTTATTTAAGTAACTAAAATATACATACAGCATCAACATTATGTAAATTATCTTAAACATATAAATAAATAAATAAAGTAACTATAATTTACAATAGTACTTATTTTAAAAGTTATAAACCATAAAGTATTGTATAGTGTAAACATAAATACACTTTTAAACTATAAATTATTGTTTAAGATTAGTACACTTGACATAATCCTGTGGTAGATCCGATTTCACAAATGTTTTTACCAAAAATCACTCTCCTGCAACACATTTATCAGATATTATATTAAACAAATGTTATTTTTTTAAAATTTAAAATTTTAGTCAAGAAATATGTGATTAAAGATTTCTAAACTATTTATTATTCAACTTTTTGAAACATATATTATAAGGGTGAAATAAGGCATATAAATATGTTTGTTTTTTAGAAGCATAGTAAGAGGTCATTTGGTTTTACTATATTATGTGTATTTTTCTTGTTTGTCTTTAAACAAATTATTTTGAAAAGAAATTTTGGTCTGATATATAGAGTGTGGCACCATTTCTGAAACAATATTTTATCGTTTTCAATTGAAAAATGCATCAATTTTTTATTTTCCAAAGAAAGAATTCTCAATAAGAAATGTATTAATAAAACAGCAATTATTTACAGCATGCTTCTCTTTTCTCTGCTCAAAATTTAAAGACTAAGGTATTGTACCGAGAATTAAAATTTTTGGTAACACAATTTCAATTAAATAACCATTTGTTTATAAGCAAATGATAGAATCTTAAAAGATTCTATGATGATGAAATATACATTCTAGACCTAAAGTAATAATTGATGTACCTTTGGATTACATTCAGCACAGTGCTAAGAATAACCACGTACTTCTTGAGATTTTTATCACTGGAAGGTCAAGGCAACTAGAATGGAAATTTTTACTGTATTTATCACACCTAAAAATAAAAAATAATAATGATTTTATATTTATATCTCACAACATTTATTACAAAAAATAAATGAAATTAAAACTTACTCAATTATAGTAATGTTAATTCCAGTTGTTTTACAAATGTTACTCTTTGGCATAAATTGACCATTATTAATTCCAAGTGGTTCAATACTCTTCTCGGGATTGATTTTGACAAATTTCATTAAGGATTCTTTCTTCTAATGATGACTAGATAAACATGACTTAATAACAAACTAAATTTTAAAAAACCTTACTTCAAAAGCATTAACATACCTAGCCTCTCTATTTAACTCAACCATGCGTTTAGGTACCTTTCCCCTTACATGGAAGCATGCCATAATAGTCCCAATCCATAAACCTGGTAAACAAGCAAACTCTCCCACAAGTTACAGACCAATAAGCCTATTACCAACCCTNTACCAGTTTGGCTTCAAAAAACAGCACTCCACATGCCACCAGATCCAACGTATATCAGAAATAATCGTACATGGTTTTGAAAACAAAAAATACACTATAGCAGTTTTTCTCGATTTAACACAAGCCTTTGATAAGGTCTGGCATCATGGGCTTGAAATAAAATTGAAAGCACTTAATCTTCCTATGTACCTGTTAAAAACCATCACATCTTTCATTACAGACAGAACATTCCAAGTGAGAATAGACACAAACCTATCTCTACAACACAAAATCAAATCTGGAGTCCCACAAGGGTCAGTATTGGGGCCAACGCTATTTAACATTTACTGCCATGACATACCCAACCCCTCTAACTCTCAACTGACAATGTTTGCGGACGATACAACAATACTCACCCAAGATAGCGTATTAAACTTATCAATCGAAAAACTACAATCTTCATTAAACGAAATTACCTCCTGGCTCAAAAAATGGAAGCTGAAACTAAATCCGACTAAAAGCGAGGCTAAAATATTTACCCTTAAAAGATATAACGATCCAATAAATATTAGCATAAACAACCAGATCATACAATGGAACAGAAAAGATGACTCAGTCAAATACCTTGGAGTTTTCCTCGATGAAAAACTGACATGGAATATTCACATAAACAAAAAACTCACTCAGGGATATGCCAGGATAAGAATTCTCTACCCCTTAGTGAATTAAAAATCAACTCTCCAAATGAAATCTTCTCACCTTCTCTACACCACAATAATCAGACCACTGATAACTTATGCCTGTCCTGTATGGTCTGCTGCCTCTATAACTAAAATAAATAAAATAGAAATTTTACAAAATAAATTCTTAAGGATATGTCTTAAAGCACCGTGGTTCATGAGAAATTGCCAGATCCATAATGATACGGAAATACCCCTGATAAATACATAGATTAAAACCCAATTTAAAAATGTCCACGCCAAACTAAAAAACTTAGACAGTGCTCGTCATTACAATATAGGAAAAAAAACACTCAATAGACGTCTGCGGCCTCGACTTCCCCAGGTCATTCTTTTAACAGACACAGAAGAATCATCATTAGAAAATAAAGATCATTATTAATATACTAGACCTCATAATTACTATTTATATTCATATATACAACACATTATTGTATCACTTTCACTATTAATAATTATGTCATTAATAAATTTATAATCATTTAAATTTGTAACAAACAAAATTGTAAAAACTAAAAAGTTGATATAGCACTAGGTGTGCTGAAACATTTTATAATTATAATAATAAAAAAAAAAAAAATATTTATATCTCACAACAATATTTATTACAAAAAATAAATGAAATTAAAACTTACTCAATTATAGTAATGTTAATTCCAGTTGTTTTACAAATGTTACTCTTTGGCATAAATTGACCATTATTAATTCCAAGTGGTTCAATACTCTTCTCGGGATTGATTTTGACAAATTTCATTAAGGATTCTTTCTTCTAATGATGACTAGATAAACATGACTTAATAACAAACTAAATTTTAAAAAACCTTACTTCAAAAGCATTAACATACCTAGCCTCTCTATTTAACTCAACCATGCGTTTAGGTACCTTTCCCCTTACATGGAAGCATGCCATAATAGTCCCAATCCATAAACCTGGTAAACAAGCAAACTCTCCCACAAGTTACAGACCAATAAGCCTATTACCAACCCTATAAAAGCTATACGAAAGAATTTTATTGAATAGGATAAAACCATTCTTACACATAATCCCAAAATACCAGTTTGACTTCAAAACAAAGCACTCCACATGCCACCAGATCCAATGTACATCAGAAATAATCGTACATGGTTTTGAAAACAAAAAATACACTATAGCAGTTTTTCTCGATTTAACACAAGCCTTTGATAAGGTCTGGCATCATGGGCTTGAAATAAAATTGAAAGCACTTAATCTTCCTATGTACCTGTTAAAAACCATCACATCTTTCATTACAGACAGAACATTCCAAGTGAGAATAGACACAAACCTATCTCTACAACACAAAATCAAATCTGGAGTCCCACAAGGGTCAGTATTGGGGCCAACGCTATTTAACATTTACTGCCATGACATACCCAACCCCTCTAACTCTCAACTGACAATGTTTGCGGACGATACAACAATACTCACCCAAGATAGCGTATTAAACTTATCAATCGAAAAACTACAATCTTCATTAAACGAAATTACCTCCTGGCTCAAAAAATGGAAGCTGAAACTAAATCCGACTAAAAGCGAGGCTAAAATATTTACCCTTAAAAGATATAACGATCCAATAAATATTAGCATAAACAACCATATCATACAATGGAACAGAAAAGATGACTCAGTCAAATACCTTGNATAATTGAAATCCTGTGATGCTTATGTTTCTGCTTATGAGCACATTTTGTTATTATTGTTGGATAATTTACCAAAAATACAATAATACATTTTTTATACCTTTTTCTAAAAATACTACAAGCTATTTTTTCATTCTATTGATCAAACCTAGTGGCTTTGTTACCGAAAATTGAAGGGAAAATTACAACTTTTACTTTAGTATTTCAATATTTTCAATCCCTTTAGAATAAGAAAACAAATATTAAGCAGACGCTCCAATTATGTTTTACTTTATACCAATAAGGCCCACTTCAAATTATAGTTCTAATACAAATATCTTTGGCCTGTTTTTTGCCAACAACTGTTTGAATGAAATATAAGGAATAGCTTCTTGATAAAAATTATTTACCAACATTAATTGCTAAAATCAATAGTTTTTTAATGTAATAAAACGTTTTACCATTTGAGAATCATAGTATGTAAATAATTTATTTTTTGTTTTTTTCGGTTGGTGGTGACCAAATCGATGTAAAGCATTTGCTTGCTGTGGAAATACTAAAAACAAAACAACATGAAGATAATTGTAGAAATATCATCATTACTTTCAAATTTCAAAATTAAAAATACACTAATTTATCTATTATAGAAAAAAATTCTGTTCACCTGATTGCCCTTCTTCATTTTGGTAGGTTCTTAATTTTTTCGCAAATTTCAGAATATTTATTTTGAAAACTTTGATTGGTAGGTATATTGGATCTAAGTGCCATTCAACAAAAACTAAATTACAAAAGATAAAAAATATTTGTTTTAAATGAGTTTTAAACAAAAGTTTTTGACTGAGACAACATCCTTTATTTGATTTAATAGTAACCCATTTTAAATAAATTGACACATTGATGTTGCATTTCTTCTGGTAATTATAATCAAAGTTTTGGCATATACAGAAAGCAATGGTTTCACTTGGCAAAATTTATTAACTGTAATTGTTTTATATATTTTTTTACTAGATAAAGAGCTAGATTTAACCCATCTTTATGGTACGTCATTAAAACTTCTCAGTCCTAATTTAAAAAATATAACCTATATTTATACCTTTGACAGACACTTTCTTATATAATTTTTTTATTCTCTGAAATACAAGTGTAATTAGGTAATTAAATTCTTACTTTTAAGGTTTTAGCGACAATCCAAATATATGTTTTCATTTTCTAGATCCAGCTTTACAAGTATATTTAGCAATTAATGTAACAACATCGTTATTCGTTGACATGATTTCTAACAAAATTAATAAAAAATAAAATATAATTTATTGTGAAATTGAGATTAAACAAATAAAATTGTATAATAACTTACCTTGGGTGGTTTTCTATCAAGATTACTCATTGCATCAGAGTTTCAATTATTATTTGTACGTAATTGTGTACAATGAAATTCTAAAATATGGTTACACTTTATTATTTCACTTCCATTAATGAAAGGTCTATTAAAATATTTAACATAGTTCATTATACCATTTTAGTCCAACACAGGATACGTTATGATATATTGTAATATTTTAAAATTTATAAAAAGATAAAAGGTATTTAAGTATATTAAAATACTGTACGCGTAAAAATAAAATTAAAGGTATAAATTTGTGTAAAAAATACAATAAAGTTAAATAATTGTATTATAGTGGTACATGGCAATGCGCATCTTTGTTATCACGTTTATCTACCGGTAGATAAGGGGGTTCCATTTATACTATTAACCACTGTTGAACTGATTACATAAATAATAAACTAAGACCGTGGCATAAACAAAGTCGAGTTCTCAACACAGATATTATATTACAAAATAATTTTATATATCTGTGGTTCTCAATTAAGAAACACTGACGACCCTGATAACTGTTAATATTTGTTTGAAATATATATTCTGTCCGTATGTTTTAGTTCCTACTGTTCCTAGTTTCCTTCTGTAATGATCGCCGATAAAAGTTAACGGTTGTGAATTTTGTGATACATACTCTGTTATGTATGGTAAAAAGAAAATTTATTAAATTAATTTTTTTTAAAAAATTGTGATTATGCGTAATGATTAAGAATTATAAACTTTTGTGAAAAATAACATTTAATCATTTAAATAGTGCGCCTTTTTGTTTTTACAAAACTCACAAAAAACACTTACAAAAAACATTGTAAACACACTTTTAAAACTATTTTTTCTGAACTGAGAATCGGTTTTGGCCGCAAATAGTTAGGTACATACAAAAAAAAGGTACCGATTATTGGTTAACTGCACTTGTTTGATTAATTCGATTACCAGTTACCGGTAATTATTTACATTTGCCACTTACAACTTTTCAAAAATAAAACCGGTTATCGGATTTTGGTTCATAGATTTTAACCAGGTTTAACTTTTGAGCCCTGAATTAAATTATTAATAGATAATAAATACAGTTAATAGTATTATAATATTCCAATTTTTTTTTTTCTATTTAAACTGTTGGAAATTTAGAAAAGTATTTCAAATTAAGTAGATAGGTACTAGCTGGACATAGAGAATCTTACATCTTTCAATAAGGTACGGTTTAATTAGGAATATTTTCACTCCTTCGCTATTGGAAAAGAAAAATCGCTTTCCGAAGGAGTAAAAAACTACAAATAATTATATCCGTCACTAAAGTCGATAGCTCGTTCCGCAGCACTATGGCCTAGAATTCCGTCAGTTTTTACCTGCAACGGCATCTATACGCTTTTAGTGGCGTGAATAATACGTTATGCACAGAACACTTATACCGAAATTCTAGCTTGTGTTCACTCCTTTGCCGACGTCAAGTATATATACGGTTCGACTACATTGTCACACCGTGAGGTCCTGCGTGTTTCAGCCGTCCAATTCGCCGTATGGCGAGCAAGCACAGATTGGTGTACGAGGCCGTAGTCTCTAGCGTCTCCTATGGTTCTCGATTGTGTCTATTATCACATTGGCGCCCAATCAATTTGCCCGTGAGTCCACTTTGTTGACTAAATCGCCTCCCGCAGACAGTGGTCCAATTGTGCGTGGGTTGCATTGTGGACAGCGAGGTATTATTGACGTGACCAACCTCTGGGGTTTATATAGGTCGAGACCGGTGTTGCAATGAACATGTGTGCAGGAAAGTCGACCGACCAACGCTTGAGTGCTCATTTGTTGTTTATACAACAAAGCGTACGCACCGCGTCCGTGTTGCCCTCGTCTCATGGTGCTCACGCTCTCTAAGGCCTCCCAGACCGGTAGTTACAACGGGTGGCGGTACCCGGAAAGTCCAAAGGTGCACATCCGCAACCATCACGGCTGTACAAAACGCTATTTGCCCCGACCTCCGCAAAAAAACTTTTGCCGTTTTTATTTTTTTTTCTCACTCAACCGTACGAAGATTATTTTTGTTTATTTTCCCCTTCAACAATCAACGACGACAGAGAACAATTGTCACGTGGTCACCGATTGTATTCATTTTAATTTATTTACCATTATTACAATAATTATCTAGTCGTGTTCTCCAACACGGTATCCGTTAAAATCTTTAACTGTGATTTCTTCTTTGTTTGGACAAAATTAAAATTTGTACACATAATGGAATATTCGAATTTAAAATAAACAAAACAAAGGTCCGATATGTAAAATAGAAATTGAATAATATAATTATGTTCAGGTACTAATATACTATTATGCCCTGAATATTACATAGGTACTACCTACTTAACTAATTAATATTAACAGGGTGTACATTTCCATTCCTATATAACAGTAGTATTCCACAAGAAAATTCAATATCAGCCTATTATATTTTAACACGCTTAGGTAACCATAGACCAAAAGATTGATTATTACATTATTCTAGTCATTATAAAATTAATATTATGAAATTGATAAATAATTGAAGATTTTTTTTTTTTAAATCAATAAAATATATAAATTAACTTATTTAATAACATTGGTTTTAAAATATTAACACACAGATTTTCGTAATAATCAGGTATTAAAATAGTTATAGAACTAAGTATTTATTTAAATTCCAAAAATTAAACTCGATAAAATTAATGGGGATAATAAAAAGCAACTATATTTATATCAAACATTGTTGCATAATCCCCAAAACGTTAATTACCTAGATTTTAAATAGTTGACCAACTTGGGTAACCTTCTTGCATATCTATATTAAATGCCTACGCTAAACAACCGTTTTTGCCCATTACTTCTTCTCATATCAAAATATGTTAGCTTCAAAAACAAAAAAAAATTGGCCATAAGAAAGGCTCCTCAAACCAATCTGGACATATAGTATTCTTCATTATTCAGGTATGGAAAGCAGCTTAACCCACAAATATTATAAATATTCCAAATTCCTAACGCAAATACCTTCATTAAATTTCCAAAGCCTTGTACTAGGTCTTAAATCATACTCTCCAGACAGATCTATTCATTCCAATATTAGAAAATGTTGCCGAGACATTCTACAAACGCATACATTGCAACATTCTCAACAAACGCAATTCCTTGACCTCAAAACTGTTTGTGGTTTATATCCTGGCTTGTTAATTTATTTCATTTGACAAATTTAATTTTCCCAATCTAACAAATATGAAAGACAAATATTACAAGTTATTTATAAGTATTTCAAAATTTATTTAAGTAACTAAAATATACATACAGCATCAACATTATGTAAATTATCTTAAACATATAAATAAATAAATAAAGTAACTATAATTTACAATAGTACTTATTTTAAGGGTTATAAACCATAAAGTGTAAACATAAATACACTTTTAAACTATAAATTATTGTTTAAGATTAGTACNACACATTTATCAGATATTATATTAAACAAATGTTATTTTTTTAAAATTTAAAATTTTAGTCAAGAAATATGTGATTAAAGATTTCTAAACTATTTATTATTCAACTTTTTGAAACATATATTATAAGGGTGAAATAAGGCATATAAATATGTTTGTTTTTTAGAAGCATAGTAAGAGGTCATTTGGTTTTACTATATTATGTGTATTTTTCTTGTTTGTCTTTAAACAAATTATTTTGAAAAGAAATTTTGGTCTGATATATAGAGTGTGGCACCATTTCTGAAACAATATTTTATCGTTTTCAATTGAAAAATGCATCAATTTTTTATTTCCCAAAGAAAGAATTCTCTATAAGAAACTTATTAGTAAAACAGCAATTATTTACAGCATGATGCCACATTGTTATCAATTTCATTGTTTTTAATTTTAACAAACTTTGTTCTCTACCAGAAATATTGCTTTAATCAAAATATGCTGAAAAACTTTTTTTTATTGAATTTTTGATCTCGAATCTCACAAAGAAAGTTGGTTTTTTGGTTATCTAAGCAGATTTTATAATAATTAAGATAAACTACAAAAAGGCAAAAAATGAAAACTGATAAATTTAGAATTCCTTTGTTTAAAATTTGTACAGCTATCAAAAATTATTGCACCAACAAAAAAAAAATAAAAATTTAAGAGACTTTTATTTCATTTTTAATCTCGCTGGTGAGTAAGAAAATCAGTTCTGTCTTTTTAATAATTGAGCAAAACCATAAAAAAAAAAAAATTGTAGAAAGAGGAGGAAAATTAACAAAAACTAATTCTTTTATTATTTTCAATTTTGTATTTTTGTTGTAATTCAGTTAAATAAATTTGTAGAGTTTTGAAATTTTAACAAAAAACTTATTTATATTTTCTTTGAAAATGTTTAAGCTATTTTTGAGCAATTCATAGATATTTTAATTTTACAAGATTTTTATTGTACTTAGTGGATAATATTGTAGGACTAAATAGAAATGCTTGAAATTTAACACAAGGTTCATTAGGAGAAGGAACCTTCATAAGAAGTCGTACTTAGTGTTAAAAAAATAAAAACAAAAAAAGTATGCAATATTTATTAAATCATTTAGAAAATAGTAATTCAATAGATTCAATAACTATTAAATTATGAGCATTATTAAGAAAGATAGTATGCAGTAATAGGATGTTTTTTTAATCCATTAACAAATAAAAATGCACAAGTTTCAATATTTCTTTAAATGGTCAGAAATAATATTAGATAAATGGAAAAAAGATAATTGACGATTAACAAAAACACAAATTACTGTAAATTAAATAGCTTCTCTTTACTCTGCTCAAAATTTAAAGACTAAGGTATTGTACCGAGAATTAAAATTTTTGGTAACACAATTTCAATTAAATAACCATTTGTTTATAAGCAAATGATAGAATCTTAAAAGATTCTATGATGATGAAATATACATTCTAGACCTAAAGTAATAATTGATGTACCTTTGGATCACATTCAGCACAGTGCTAAGAATAACCACGTACTTCTTGAGATTTTTATCACTGGAAGGTCAAGGCAACTAGAATGGAAATTTTTACTGTATTTATCACACCTAAAAATAAAAAATAATAATGATTTTATATTTATATCTCACAACATTTATTACAAAAAATAAATGAAATTAAAACTTACTCAATTATAGTAATTGTTAGTTCCAGTTGTTTTACAAATGTTATTTTTTGGCATAAATTGGCCATTAGTAATTCCAAGTGGTTCAATACTCTTCTCGGGATTGACTTTGACAAATTTCATTAAGGATTCTTTCTTCTAATGATGACTCAATAAATATTTGTGAAAATGTTGCTTTAAAATCACTTGCGTTTGGCACAGGTTTTACCTAAACAAAGAACCTCATTAATAATTCTGAATTACCAAACTAAAACATAATATTATAGTTTAAATAATTGAAATTCTGTGATGCTTATGTTTCCGCTTATGAGACTTAGCACATTTTGTTATTATTGTTGGATAATTTACCAAAAATACAATAATACATTTTTTATACCTTTTTCTAAAAATACTACAAGCTATTTTTTCATTCTATTGATCAAACCTAGTGGCTTTGTTACCGAAAATTGAAGGGAAAATTACAACTTTTACTTTAGTATTTCAATATTTTCAATCCCTTTAGAATAAGAAAACAAATATTAAGCAGACGCTCCAATTATATTTTACTTTATACCAATAAGGCCCACTTCAAATTATAGTTCTAATACAAATATCTTTGGCCTGTTTTTTGCCAACAACTGTTTGAATGAAATATAAGGAATAGCTTCTTGATAAAAATTATTTACCAACATTAATTGCTAAAATCAATAGTTTTTTAATGTAATAAAACGTTTTACCATTTGAGAAGCATAGTATGTAAATAATTTATTTTCTGTTTTTTCGGTTGGTGGTGACCAAATCGATGTAAAGCATTTGCTTACTGTGGAAATATTAAAAATAAAACAACATGAAGATAATTGTAGAAATATCATCATTACTTTCAAATTTTAAAATTGGAAATACACCAAATAATGATCTTTCAATTAAAAATTCGGTTCACTTGGTTGCCCTTCTTCATGTTTTTACTTTTTTGAATGGTAACATATATTTTGAATCGCAAATTAGATTGTAGAATATTTATTTTGAAAACTTTGATTGGTAGTTTAATTGGATGTAGGTGCCATTCAACAAAAAATAAATTACATTTATAAAATATATTTGTTTTAAATGAGTTTTAAACAAAAGTTATTAACTGAAACAACATCCTTTGATTTAATATTAATATTAACTCACATAGAAGAAATACATACGTTTAATACATACTATGTTGCATTTTTTCCGTTGGAGAAGGTTGTACCATTCAAGATTTATAGATAATATTATCTATTAACCTTGAGTACCATGTATACTTCTAACCACAGCTATAGATAATGTTATCTTTACTTGTGTTTTTAACCTATGTTGATTTGATTACGTAAAGAAAGAGTTCTCAATCTAGTAACATGGAATATGGTGATATTTTTTTTTTTAAATATATAAAATATTTGTGGATCCGGTTGTTTTATTTTTTATTATGAATTAAAATAACCTAATAAATAATAATACAAACTAATTAATAAATAAATATAAATTCTTAATTCGTGGTTCCTATAATAATCATAGACATATAAATATTTGTATGTCTATGGTTGCTACTTTTTTAATATTCTTTTGTAATGATTGCTTTAAAAGTTAACTGTCGTAAATGTTATGATATACTTATTGTAATGAGTAAATGGAAAACTTGTTTATTTTGTAATTCTTTATTATAAATATTGAATATGAATTATATATTTTTCAATTTTTGTGATAAATAATGTGTAATCATTCAAATAGTGCGCCTTTTTATCTTTACAAAACTAAGAAACCCTTACAAAAAGTTGCTGCTAGTGACGTGTGCATCGCCGTACGTCATCTCATCGGTCTGCGCCCTATGGTCACTTCATATACCCATTGCTGCTGACTTGTTATTTTTTACTAATCTGCAGTGTATACAAATGCTGAACGCATACAACATTTTTATGTGTAACGCCAAAATGAAGTTTCTTAGTTTATGTCATTGTACACGTCTCAATATCTGAACTTTTACATTTTTTAAAATTTATTTGAATGGTTGGGAAATTGGAAATCAGTATTTTAGATAATTTAGTGCAATTATACATCTAATCCAAATTACCAATTTTACTGTTTAATTTTTTTTACAATCTAGATTTCAAGTTCCTTATTATTCTTGACAACTATGTATTTTGAAAAATTAATTTTATTATTTTTGTTTACATCTTGCTGTTTATTAAATTGTCTTATTAAAAGCCAAACATTAGAAGTGATTAATGATGATGAACTATTAGATTTATTTCATTCCGAAAATCATGTACTCGTCTTATTCAGTATGTTGTTTATGTCATTTTTATTTGTTTTATGATATTTATCAATATTATGTTTTTACTGTTATTTTCATAAACAAATAATATTGTGTTTTATATTATAGCACTAAAAGATTGTAATATGTGTAAAAAGTATGAAGAGACACTGACTCAGATAAGAGAAGAAGTAGTTGATTCTTTAAATGCTTGGGTTGTCAAAGTAGAAGGTAGTAATTTGGTACACATTTATGATCCAACTAAAGAACCATCATTAGTTATGTTTCGATATGGTGTACCATTATTAATACCAGAGTCCGGTAGTACCTAATAAACATTTTGTATTTTGTCATACTTCGTGTATAATGATGTATTTTATATTTTAGAAGCAATTAACGAGGAATTATTGATAGATATGATATTGAATAACAGAGATCCTATTGTTAAAGAATTAAATGATAATAATTTTGAACATCTTACTCAGGCATCAACAGGAGCCACAACGGGTGATTGGTTTATTAAATTGTAAGTTTAATAACGCCAATGCCGGCAATACACTCTCTGTGAAAAATTTAGGTGAGAAGAGGAAGCTCAAGTTAGTGAGTATACTATTGAACTGCCTCGGTTTAAAATACTATACACACTCGTTTTGTGCCCAGTTTTGCACGGCAAAAATTATAGTTATGTTCAAAAGTTTACTGTGTACTTTATTTCTCACAAATTGTGTCTTTTAACTCAGTCGCTAAAAACTAACTACAGACCAAACAACGTCAAAGCGAGACAGGTTGATCAGAATGGAGTGCATCAAGTACACTATAATGATGTCTCAACAAGAGTGTACTGCTGGCATAATAATTTACATTTCTTGTAGATAATTTTAGTTTATTATTGTCATTATTTTTGTTATAGTTATTCATCTGATAGCATAGAATGTCAGAGATTGCAAGCTCAATGGGAAACTGTGGGTGCTAAATTAAAAAATCGTGTGAATGTTGCACGTATTAACAGACACATCGGGGGGGCAATAACTTCTCGTAGATTCAATATAAATCAATCACCTACATTTATTTTGTAAGTTAAAAAGTTTTATAAATTGTTTAAAAAATAAAATACAAGTTGGTATCATTTAACTTTGTATTTTGTCAACAGATTACGACGTGGTGCTATGTACAAATATACATTGTCTCATGTTAATGTTGAATCATTATTGAAATTTGTCGAAGAAGATTATAATCTCACAGTTAAAATACAAGTGCCTCAACCAAAGTCAATGTTGTAAGTTTGTACATTTATTATTATTTTTGTACATACAGTTGTTTAAAATATAATTATTATTTTTACTTTCTAGTGATGATTTTGTACACATGTGCTTTGATATGCTTAGGGAAAACCCATTTTTTTGGAAGTTGAACTTGATTATATTTAGTATAATATTTGTGTGCATTGCTGTTTTGAGAAAAGTAACAAAGGATGACGAATCTAAAGAAAATGAACGCAAGTCAAAAAAACTAAAGACATCATCTAAAAAGTCTACCAAAAAAAGCAAATAATATAAAATAAGTTAAGTAGACATCTAATTGCTAATAAGTAAATTTTATATCTCAAAAGAATTAAATCTTTTTTTTTTTTATTTTTCTTCTAATAAAATACATATGAGTTACCTACTATATCAATTAATGTATATTTTGTTAATATAATAAAAATTTAAAAAAATGTATAAAATCATATTATTTACTTAATATTTTGGTTGTATAATATATATTTTACATAAAAATGTATTTTAAACTCTTAAGTATCAAAGCTGGACAGTACTTTTAAGTTAATTTTTTACCATTCTTATGCATAGTCTATGCATACAAACACTATAGTATAAAAATATTTAAAAAATGTGAAGAAAAACTTAATTGGTTGCGCAAAATGGGTTTATTTTTATGTAAAAAATGGTAATATTTTCTATGTATTCTTTATTTTGTTTTTATATACTGTAGCATTAATTTCTTTGCATTTAGATGATATCCTAGCGATGTTACGTTTTGTGTCTAACTTACAGATGTACACACTGATAAAACCAAAAAAAACAGCTAGCCGTTGTATCCCAAGTGAAAGAAAATAAAGGTTCAATTCTACTGGAATTTTGCTGTTAGGTCTTAGTTACTAAGTGTTACCAAAATAACAACAATCAGAATTTTACAAAAGGTACTTGATACAACGTCACTGGGATACTATCTTTTATTGTACTTTTACTTGATGATTTTTTTAAATTGAAACTGATTATAATTGCATTACCAATTATAACACTAGGCAAAGATTTTTCTTCATATTTAATATAGGTATTATATATATTTTTATGTTTATTTTATTGTTATCTATTATGTGCTGATAATTTACATTTATAAGGAATAATGTTAATATTAACTTAAATTGACATTATAAAATAGTAAATATTATGAAAAAAAAATATATGTACTGTCTAAAGTTCACATTTTTTTTTATGAGTAGCTACTAACTAGTATCTTAACTACCTAATTATTTTTTTCTTCAATTATCTTGTAATTTAGTAACGGTAACTTACTGTCAGTTATTTACTAAAATTTAATACCTTGACCAGTTTTTTTATACTTTAAAAGCCATAATTTAACCTAATTGTAAATTCATAATTTCTACCTTTGTAAAATATAAGTGTTGTTTGAATAAATTGACTGTTTATATTTTTTGTAATATACATTTGAAGAATTAATTATCATTATTTTATATGATTATAAAATGAATAACTATAGGTTATAAATTTTTAATCAGTGCTGATATTAGGAAGAGACGTAGAGGAACAGAGTATCTCAACTAATTTGTCAGATATTTAAGCATATTATCTACTATTTGTTTGAAGTAGAATGTATGAGACACAGTAGCGGATACAAGAGGAAAACATATATTATTATTAGAAACCATCACCTTTAAAGTTAATGATCGGAAGAAGATTTCTGGTAAAAAATGTATTTACAAACCGGAAAAAAAATATATATCTTAGTAAAATCTAAAATAAATATTATCTATTATGTAAGTAAAAAGTGAGCATGTTGTAGGTAGTGTTATAATTTAAAAATTTGTATTTACAAAAATTATGAATTATTTAATTATGTTTAAAAATTGGTTTGGGAGGAGAGATGAGTTCAATAATTGCAAGGGTCACTGACAAATCGAGCATTATTGTTAAAAAAAGAACTAATAACTATTGCCGATGGGTGTGCCAATGTTGTAAGTAAAAGTTAGGAAGGTAAGATTCATAAGATTTTAAACTTATATCTGCAATTAAAGATAAATAATTGCTAATAAAAAATTATTCTGTGTGAATTTCGTTTAAACATGATTTTAAAAATCGTAGTATTTTCATAAAAATTTTATCTTAAAACTATTATAAAAAAAAAAAAAAACTACAAGTACAATTTCTAATGAAAGTCATATTAAATTTTCAAGCAATTGTGTTAGGTCAAACAATGATATTTACATAAATTACATACTAAAATAGTACTCAATAAAATGTAAAAAACTCGTAAACACATAGTTAATATGCCTGTACATAATTCAAAAATCACTCAATGTTTTCAAAATTTTACTATATTTAGAAAAGGTGAAGTTTATGAGTTTTCTGTTAAAATTTCAAGTTTTTATTTTGAAAAACTTTTGCGTTTTTTCTATGTTATTTTTGGGTTTGGTTCAATTTTTAAGACAAATACACGAAAAGTTAATATACTACTAATGAATACACCAACTTTAATGAAGATTTAAAAATTAAAAATGACAACATAAAGAGAAGAAATTAAAAAAACTAAATGCCGTAAATTTATTAATTTTATTTTACGTCTTATTGGTTTTTCCCAATTATTATGGAAACTTCTTAGAAAATTAAAAAATGACCTACTTCATGAGCAAATAGGTCTAAAATGCAACAAAATATAGTTTTTAGCATTTTTTTATTAAATTATTAGGGAAGCTATTTTTAGATTTTCTTTGTATTTTTCTTAATAATGAAAAACAAGAATATTTACACGATAATTAGGTAGGCAGTGGTGCCATTCAGAGGTGCAGGTTGTGCACCCGCACACCTTAAGACATTTTTATCTACGATTGGCCTTGGCCTTCTAATTTAAATATGTGATTAGTAGTATTATTTGTAAAACATCTTGCTAGTCTTACATCCACGATTAAAAATATATTAAATAACCTAACCTATCATTAATAATTTTGCTTGCGCCGCTATTTAGACTGCTAATCAAGGTGGATTAATTAATTAATCCACCTTGATAATAATAATAATATTTTTTTTTTTTTATTTGATAAAATATTAACATACATTATTACATCTCAATAGTTATGATTATAAAACCCACAGATTTTTACATTTTCAAATTAGCTTGAAGAATGAGACTGATTATTTATTTGATTAGTATTTCGTTATTAAAAGAAAGGGTGTTGGAATAAAAAAAATTAAGGTGAAGTGAAGAAAAACTATTTTTTAAATTAAGCCTATTGGAGTGGAGGGAAGGGTAAGATATTAACAGGTGGAAAAAATTGTAAAATTTACCGCCGCAGTTGCCAGTTAGTGAGAGTATAAACGGGGCTGCTATTTATATCTAAATGATTTGGGATGCAAATTGTGACCCATGCGAGACGTACCATTGTTGTCCAAAAAACTACTACCAGAGACAAAAATAATATACCTACAAACAAATGTTAAATAATAACAGACTATAATGGATAAATAGGTTTGTATTTTTGTAATGTTTATTTTAATTGACTGTTGCATTGAAAAACAATTTTACGTGAATACCTACGTAATTGATTATTATTTAATTATTTATGTAATCAATTTAAGAAATATAAATCATAATTCATTCGAATGAATCGATAATTTTTACTTTGAATATTTAGCGTTCGATTATACGATTTTTCTTAATATTATAATTTACCTCTATCAATTAAATTAAACTTACGGATAAAAATGCTTATTTATAAAATCGATACACACAAATTTAAAACAATTAATATTTTAATTAAAATTGAAGGACTAAAAAATACTTATATAAAAGTAGAAAAATTGTGTAATTATTGTTCCGACTTCTGATAAAATTGATAATTTTATTACAATTGTTTTTTGAATTATGAACTATTAAAAGTTACAGTTATTTACAAACGAAAAAACCACAAAAATTGACATACTTGGCACGTGGTTGCAGCCACTTTTGTAGATGGGAAGTTAAAAGGTAGGATACAGAAGGAAATATAATGTACATCTGTAAGCAAAAATAAACTATTGATAACGAAAAACGATTCTGAGCGGAATTCAGTTGATAGTGATGCTTTGTCAACAATATAAATGTCATATTATTATAAAACAATTAGATAGGCATTATAAATTTTCTTTCGTAATATTTGTTTAATATTATACCAATTTTCTCAGTTTTCTCATGTTTTTTCACGATTTTTCACATTTGCTGGAAAAATCTCTTGAGAAAATCGAAAAATTACCTCCCTAAAATACCACCCAAGATTATTTCATTTCAGCAAAAGGTTTACACCGTGTACATCGGAATAAGCTTTATGTGAAAAAAGTGTCCACATAAAAATAAACATCTTTATAAAATCAATACATTCTTCGCTACACTCAGAATCTAAAATGTTTTTGTATTTTTTATATCGAGCTGTATATTTTGAATAATGCAAAAACCCTATGAAATTCATTCCAAAATACTGTTCTTTATAAATTTCATAATAGGCACATTTACTCTAAAATTCAAATTAATCTAGTTTGACTTCTGCGTAAGCATTGTTTTTGCATGTTACCCGGTAGTTGGACTGAGACAGTAGATGCGGGTATAACGTCTTCTTAAGCTACCAAAGAGCACACAGTTGCTATTTCAAATGCAACCATCCTATCAGAATAAAATATTTTACTATTGATAAAATATAATGGCCTGGGTGGGTGTGGGGAATGGGGATTAACTTCACAGATACGATATCGAACACCAAAAATAAAACAGTTATGTTTGCTGACGAGACTATAGGCGGGAGCATTAGCAATAATATGTTATTTGTTTTCCCGTCAGATAGGTATGATATTATTATTGTATTTTTTATGTGTAACCGGCGTTTGATACGCCTACAGGTGTATGGAAATAGAACTATCTAGAGTTTTCGACGCCATCGGAGCGCGTATTTATAACGCTAGGTTACTTGAATATTCGAGTGTTCGGTTATATTCGATTATTCGGGTATTCGATTAATTGATTAAAATAATTATTATAAAAAAAAAAAATTAGTATTTTATTATTTGTTTTATTCGACGGGAGGCCCCGCCCGAATCGTAGTAAATGCGCGAGTTCCAGCCCCCCTCCCCGAAAAGTAGTCTTGGCTGTGGCCCACCCGTGGAGCGATATAGCTATAGCGTTTTTTAAACATATTTTTGTATAAATTGATGTCAGTGATGACTAAGGCTCGGAACTTATTGCACTTAAAATCCACAAAAAAAAAAAAAACACTTAAAAACGGTAGAAGGGTTTGTTCCCTCTCTAATGTCTCTAATTTATCTAATACAATTTTCTAACACTACAAAACTAAAGTTGACCCAAAGTTAACTTTTTTCAAATACGTTGAATTTTATTCAAACAAAATAATTGTTTGTTAATAATTTGTGTTTTGTTGGAAAATTATATTTAATAATTTAGAGTCGTTAGACAGGGAAAATTTAAATCCTTCTACTATTCGATCTAATAATATATGTTTAAAGTGCTTTTTTAACGTTTTTAAGCGGTTTTTTGTGAATTTTAAGTACAATAAGTCCTGAGCCCCAGACCGATGACGTATTATTTGTTTTTTTAAAATATCGCTGCAATTTCATAGACCATTATCTGCAATATTAAAATGACACGTGCATATTCCTTTTAATTTTTTTATGACTTACAATTTATTTTTAACAATAAGTTATATAGGTATCTATTATCTATACACGGAGTAATTGCATATCTTTGATAGGCGTAGGTATAAGGTATGTAGGTATATCTATGAACATTTTTTTTTGTCAATTATTTATAAATATTATTACTTGTAGGTACCTCATACATCCGATAAATTTGTTTCGCATTTTACTTTGACCTAACACACATAATCAGTAGAAACGTATAATATAATTTTAAGTCCGGTGTATAGTGTATACCTATACAAGGTACCTACGTTGGTAGGTCAACGTGGTCAACGTGGTTTAGTCAATATCCGTCAAACAATTAATACATTGTAAAATGATCATATAATTTCCATAATAAAAATAGATAAATCATCTACAAAAAATAAAATAATAAATTCAACTTTTGTGTTTTAAGGACAAACAATTCACATTCGTGAACTTCTAGTTAGGGTCGAATTCTTGGATTTCCAAAAATTATTTTTAATTCTAGCTCACATTATATTCAAGAAATTTCTGTGCAAATCATTTAAAAAACAGCGGTTTGGGCTATGGGTTGAGCAATCAGTTAGGACATACCAATTTATATATAGGTAGATACCTACTTATATATTAAGTTTATAGATACAATATAGGTACCTATATATTGACTAATGGTATATACACAGATTAATTGAATAAACAGGTAATTTTTTTTATTAGGTACAATAATATAGTTCTTTACATTGAAACGAAATCAAATTACCCTAACGTGTTACATTATAATTAGGTTTAATTTAATTGTAGATATTTTTCTCACCTGCATTCCGTTAAACATAAAGCATAGTAGGTATATGTACCTACGATACTTATACCTATTCTCCAACACCGTTTGTACACTTGTGTGATTATTTTAACGTTTTTAGTTTATACACATTATATTATAACGAGTATAATGAATTAAAATGTGCCAGAATTTATAAAAAAAATCAAAAATATCTCTTGAACGTTCCCAAAATTATCAATTTAATTGTCTACTATTATGATAAACTTGGGAATTTAATGCAAGATATCCAACCGGATAGGTATACAGAGTAATATTTTAAGCATGTTCACCCCATTAATTTATAACGTTTAAGGTATTTTGAATTATGTCTGATAAAAACAGTAACATTTTCAAACCCTAAGCAAATTTGTACCATTTTAAGAGAATCCTGTGGTGATATTATACATTTTTGTTTTCCAAACGAGAACACAATTTTCAACGTAAATAATAATAATAATAATTCTAGAATTGTTTTAAAATGTTAAATTTAAAGGTAATGCATAAGATGCACCGCAATAGACCAAGAGGCGAAACTATTAAGCGTATTTTAGGTAAATTGTTCAACAACTTTTGAGAAAACACTGCAAATGAATGCACTCCCAGAACGGCCACTGCAGCCTACTATTGTAATTTGTAATATCGATACCCATACCATTTTACTTGCCGATTATAATCAATATATAATGAAAAGTATTGTAATAATTTCCAGCCTGTAAACAAAAAAAAAAAAAACAAAATATTATCAAGTACCTATATAATAGTATACACATTATTACAGAATGTATCTCGGTATCTCGTTAACTTTAAACCTAAATATATACCTAGATACGTTTGCTTTCTGCGTTTCGCGTTTTCGTTGTACGATGAGGATAATAATGTTATGTTCGGTTCGGTTAGGTGTGTAGAAGGCGAAATGTATAATTATGGAAAGGCATATAACATATTAAATCACACCGTCCGTAATATATTACAGAGGATCCTTACCAAACCACTTGCAGTTATTACGGTGACTGCAGTCAACATTTTATCGTAATACGACATTCCCTTTCACTGATCCCGCAGTCGCGGTTTGGTACCTATAGACATCTACCAATATTATTGTGATGTATAGTACGTGTGTTTGTTTTAAACTCGCAGCTACTGCAAAAATCGAGCGGTTCGACTTGCATTGAGTGTACCAATACGCACATAGAAGTACCTGCACGATATTCGATTTCCGAGAAATTTGTACACTTCCTTGCATACCTATTGGTAGGCACTGGAATTTCGAGCCAATATCGTTTTACGCCGCGTAACAAGTGTATTATTATTATTTTATTTTTTTTTTATAAATGCATACAATATATAATACGAATCTCAGAAAACACGTACGGGGTAAGTTTTGATTGAACATTAATATTAATCACGATTCCGATTTTAATAAGTTGTCTATTTGAAAACATGAGCAGTTAATTGGTACGAACGAAATACTATATAATATGTATTAGGTAGGTATTTATATATAGGATTTGTCTTAGGATATTGCGGCTTTAACGCCAACGATATTGTAAAGTGCTGTTTCTATTGTATACTTTCTCTAACGCAATATTAATTTCCCTTGGGGATTTACTCTTTGAATTTATTTAATATTTATAAATAAACTGTATTTTTTTTTTTTTTTGTTAATATTTTATCATTGCGATTTTAATAACTTTATTGTACGCGTACTGCAGTTGTTCCGATCGTTAAATTACCTACTTCTATTTCGTGTTCCTAACATTTAAAAATATTGTATAATACGACCTATATACTTCCTACATATTATTAGGTATGCAATTTTCTATATATATATAAATCCTTTTAACTTTCAGATGTTTAAATATTATTATACGCGGGTAATACTCAATTTTACCTAGCACATAGTAGGTACCTAGAAGTTTATTTAAAAATAATTGCACGCAAAATTCCATTTAGTTCTTAAAGTCAGTAGTTAGAAGCAGCTAAAAATACAAATCTCATGTACCCTGAGATTTCGTTTTTAAAATGCTTACTCGTTGTTTTGTTTTACTTGTTATAACCGCGTAGTTAATTTATTTTAGACGTGATAATTATAACATTCGTAAAACGACGATGAACTCAAAATATAACCGTGTCGAATTTCAGAGAAAATAATATTACAATTTAGTGGTGTTATAAATACCTATGCCATATTTTTAGAACACAAAAAAGTTCAAAGGATATTTGTATGCACATTATGCTTTATGATAGGGGTATACGTAAATAAATACTAGGAAATTATAAAAATTAGTTATAGGTATACCAACCTGTACTCAAAATATTTGGTTACAAGTCTTTATCAATCGATTTCAAAAATTACCGTTTAGAAATAACAAAAAATCGAGGAAATGTATTATTGAATGAATAACCAATAAATTAATAAATATATCGAATATACCAAAACACATTTTAACGTTCATAATATGTGTGCCATAATAATTAAAATGTATACCATTAAACGTTGACTTTTAATTGTTTTTGGTAGCATATTCTGTTAACACTGTGTGCACTGAGCATGTCATTTTTTGATTTTCCTTGTAGTTTTCTACATAATAAGAAAAATGAGAGAAAAGTGCTTTATTCCTATGGTGCTACAAAAAATACCGAAAATATATAGCCACAATTTATTTTTAATACGGGGTTGTAAAGTTCAAATTTTGAAAAAAATCGTGAAAATCACATTTCGCGTACTATTTTGAGATTAATGCGGACAAACCGTTATTGATTCCAAAATATTGACCATTTACAGACAATTATAATTTATTTTATAGATAAGTACAAATTAATATAAATTTCAGTTCATTAAGTTTATCAAATCATAATTAACCAAACTTCACACAGAATCGTTTTTCTTTAGCAATATGATTTATTACAGATATAAATTGAGTTACCTTCTCTATAATTCTATATACCTTATCTTTCCAACTTCCCACCTACAACAGTGGAATATCCATGACTCATGAGCACTATCAGTAGCGCAAGTGTTTCGTAATACGTACAGCTTGATTAACACCTACTTACATCAAAATTAAATTTTACTCATTTATAAATATTATATAGAGTTTACATATTTAACAACAATAAAATAAATTAGTTTTTAGATAGTAAGTAGGACTAAAATATCTTCAATTAATAATTTACTCTGTATTGACTCTTTTATGGATACCCGCCCTCAAGCAAAATCGTTAAAGGTATAGCGATCGCTACACCTTGAATATAGGCTGAGCGCTATTGAGCAGTATATCTTATACGTAGCGACGATGTGCAAAACACTCGAAATATTTCGGTGGTTTTTTTACCCCCATTCTCGTTAAGAAATCCTGGCTACCCTGATTATACCTATATTATAATTGTTATTATTATTATGTGGCTATACTACTAAGTTTTTTTTTCTGATAGAACGTAGCCCTTCCTAATTGTCTAATAGTTTTAAAGTCTCACCAACTATTAGACAGAATTTTAAGAAGTTAGTAGACGAGATATTATTTTAGCAATAACTATTTTGGTATAATCTGTAATTTACTCTTCAAAACTGTTGTTATTAGACAATGTTTAGTACTTTGTCTATGTCGTACAATACATTATATTATGCACACTCTTGTGGCTTACTTGAGTAAAAACAAAGATTATAATAAAACGTATTATTTAATTTGTTATACATTAAATACCAACTTAGTACATTTTAGATTCGGAGTAGAGCGATGTTTTGGTATTACAATAGAGTTTAATCTTTTTCTGTGAACAAATTTTCTACCAGAAATTTTGCTCCGATTTTTAAGGGTAGAACTTTTTCTGAAAGAAAATTTGACTGGGGTTGTATTTTAAAGAGGTAATTTTTCAATTTTCCCAGGGGTTTTCATAATAAATGGTATGAAAAACGGGAAAATTTACGAAATGTATTATTTTCAAATCGTAAATATTAGGACCTTTCAAAACATGTTATAACCGAATTCAGCTCAGAATCGTTTTTCGATAGCAAAGATTAATCGTTGTGTAAAGATATACATTAAATTCCCTGCTATATCATACCTTCCCAACTTCCCACCAACAACAATGGCCCACTGCAAAGTGTAAATTATGTTCCGTATCTTTTTATAAATCGAAATACAATTATTGGGAGGTAAGTCTCGTTACTCTCAGAATCCAAAAATATTTTACTATTTGTATGAACTTTAAAAGTGTAATCTAATAAACAATAATCAATACGCTGAATAATATATAATGGTAGTGTATTACTATTTATTTTTGCTCATTGAAAATAATTGTAAGTATTCTTATAATAATTGCTATTGAGGTGTTAAGAAATTGGCAATGAATCGGTTTACCTATATGGCATTGTTATATTAGAATATTATTACGTATAGGTATATCTGCACTCCGGGAGGTTTTATTTATTGAGTTTTGAAGATTAAAGTTAGTATTTATTTTTTTTTTATAGTATGTAATCTATTCACCGTTTCGGGGCATCGTTCATCACATCCACATGACTAAGATTTTTTTGATGAGGGTCGTTGAAGTTACTACAGCTACTGTATTTATAGGTAGTAGGTACCTATACACAATATTGTTATTGATGTTTCAACAATTTAACCGATATAGCAAAAATTATAGTTTGAATTATTTCAAATGAAAATAAAATTACAGGGCATTCGCACCGCGAATATCAGTAAATATCAGTAATTTTCGTTACCTATATTGCTATTAAATGTCATGCGAATTGAAAGCAGTGTGGAGAAATCAAGCGTTTAAATTTTAATCATGAGAATCATTTCATTTTTATTTTTTAATTCGACGATATTTTTAATGTATCTATATTTTCGTTAAAATGTAAACTTTTTAAATTAAAAAAAATATATAATTTATTATACAAACCACCTGGCTTATTTAAACCTTACCTTACTGACAAAAGTCTAAAAACCGTTACTATGATGTAGGTATATAATATAACCTATATAAGTACAAAGAACCCCCCCATGAGTACCTATATCTCATTTTTATATTACACAAGTATATAGGTATTTCAAAAATAGTAATAGCATAGACAGACCATAGGTATTATATTTGTTACGTTTATTATGGTAGTAGGTGTCTGGTAAGTACCTATATTTAAGACAATGGCGTAATTTTGATGGGGAAATAATATTATGATTGACAACGTTCTTTTTTCATAATATGCGCCTTTTACGTAATTTTATAAAGTTAATAAACGAATGAGTTATAATTGTAAAATAATAAGTGATATAATGCGATGTTTAAAATATCCATGAATCAAAATCACTTTTGAATAAAATAACCAAGCCTTTCTAATAATATTTATGCCGCCAGCTACACAGGTTCAAATAGATGAGGACATGTTATTATAATATTATAATTTAAGAGACGTAAAAGTGGATCTAGCACTATGCAACTATAAACATAATATCTGGGCCATCGATATATATTATATTATTGAAATACACGTACGTCGATATTCGATAAGTAAAGTAGCCATTTGACAAACCCGACACTTTGTAGAATAAAATAAATTCCACACAACTTCGAATATATACCTCATGATTGATTACCTCATCGTAATATACAAGGTGATCAATCTTTCGTAAGGCACTCGTTATCTCGGAAAGTACTTACTTTTTCCAGAATTTGTTTTCTAGAATATTTAAGAAACAAGCTGCTCTACAATTTTATATTTATATTATTTTTTTTTATCCTTATTTTCGGGGGTAAAACCACTTTTTACTTTTAATTTTCAAATGGCAAACTATATTTAAAATTCCATAAATAGACGAAGTACCAGTTAAAATAAATGTTGGTTGTAGAAATTTTTGATCTCCGTCAATTGGTTGACGAGGTATTCTACTTTTAAGGTTTGGTTGGGGGAGGGAGGTGGTGCATTATTAACACGCCACGCGCCATACGGCCAAACAAATAATACTTCACTACTCTTTTCAAATCCAAACTTAAAAGTGGAATATCTCATCAACGGATTGATGGAAATCAAAAATTTCAACATCAAAATTTATTTTAACTAATATTTCGCCGATTTATGGAATTTTTAATATAGGTTGCCGTTTAAAAATAAAAAATAGGTAGTGGTTAGTGGTTTTACCCCTAAAAATAAGGGTGACAAAAAAATAACATAAATATAAAACTGTAGAGCAATTTCTTAAATATTCTAGAAAATAAATTCCAAAAAAAGTTAATACTTTCTGACATAATGAATATCTTATGGTAGATCAATTACTCTGTTTAATATAGTATTATTTTTTTTTCTGGCTAACTTGAACAAAGAATCTCTATATAACTACTGTAGTTAATCAACAAATGTTTCCGTTCAATGTATAGGTATTCTAATGCAATTATATGATGCGTATACCAAAGGTATATAAAATTATGTTTTATAATTCATTCTGAATATTTACTCTTAAGACAGTGGATTTTATAAGTTTATGCAACATACAATCTATTTATATGGGAACCTAATTAATTAGTTTTTACATAACGTAATCATATCCCATGCTATTAAATTCTGAAATTTCATGAATATTTTAAATCTTAATACAATTTTAGAGAATGCTATTTACGGTTTAATAATATGCCCACGGACGTGTTATAATAGTGAATTCATAGGCTAATTCATAGATTACCTACCTTTAATATCGTTATTATTACAGGTGTCGACAACGCAAAAAAAAAAAACAGGTATGCCTATAATATGAACTTTTTGTGGTATCTGTCACTATTCCCTAGTATTGTCATAATTTAAATAAGTACGAATTAAATTAGTATAGGAAATTTAATTGGGATTTTTTGTTTTTTTTTAGATTTCCGATAATGTTATAAAATGTTTAGAAATATACCTATAATAGTTTTAATTCCATTTTGTCGTAGATAATTATTGTATACGTCTTTTTTTATTACATGTACCCACCTAGTACCTACATATAATCTAAAAAATAATAACTATTGAAATTTGAAATACAATGCAGTTTAAACTTTTATTTATTTATTTATTTTTTTTTTTTTGGATACAGTTATGTAGGATATAGAACTAAATGAATATCTATTGCATACGTTTTTCAATCGAATACAAAATGCCAATGTCCGAAGTGCGAAGATGTTTGACTATCAAATTCACATTGTTTTTGATGATGGCTGGCGTAGCTTTAGCTCAAAAGCCAGACACAAATACTGTTATTGGTCCGATTAACGCTAACGGCGGTGGCGCCGCTGAGTTTCGTAAGTACCTACTAATATTTAATACACATAAGTAGATAGATATTATAAGGTATGTAAAAATAATCGGTTTTAATATTGTAATACGAATTATTTATAATAATATGTAGTATATGTACCTATATTACGGTACAATTTCAATTTACAAAATTACACATTATTCAAATACATTTTGTTTTATGTAACGTAAAATTGTTTTGTTTGACTCTATAAGAACTTATTGCTTCAGTAACAATCTTTATGTTTTGCCGGAATATCATATTTGAAAAATTTTTTTTAAATATTTGCATATATTTTTATAATAGTATGGTAAAATATAGGTACTATTATTATTGTTATATTATTCAAAGACGTTCAAAAATGAGCACCAAGTCAAAAATACATTTTTAGTGAACATAATAGTATACAGGTGGTTTTATGAAGATTGGAAAGGTATTTGACCGACATAATTAAAGGTACCCATAATATACCTATAAAATAGTATGATATGTACTCACTTAGCAAAAAAAACCTGTAAACTTTCACTGGACGATCTCGAATTAGTTGATCTGTAAACCAGACGGACGAGTATCACGCGTATAGTGTTATGTTTTTTTTCAGTTATGTCATTGTTACACTACGATTTTTAATAAAAAAAAAAAAATAAATAAATGGCGAATGGTATCTAATATATTATGTCGTTATTATAATTTAGACAAAATATGAACAGCAGTCTACAGATATTACCTTACAGAACTATATCGTCCATACATAATATATTAATTGTAATACTTATAATTAAAGATTCTGTAAGGAATATGCACTTAAAATTCATAAAAATGAAAACATATTTTAGGCGTTCTCCCTCTAACGACTTTGATATAAAATTCAATTTTCTAGCACCCCAAAAGCTATTAACATATTTGTATAATACGAAAAATGTTATAAAAAAAATTACTTTGTAATTTTAGAAAATTATATTTAATTAGTTAGAGCCATTGGAGGGTATGGGATTTTTAAACCGGTTTACCGGTTTTGTTTTTTAAGTGTTTTTGTGAATTTTCAGTGCGTATAAATCCGTTTCCTACGTATAGTATATGAACTGTAACCTAACCAATTGCTAAACGAACGAGCCACGAGAGAGCTTTTTACAATATTTGTACGGTATTTTTCATATTAATATCAAATTAATAATGCATTATACCTATAATATTTAAGATTTAATGGTGTAGAAAAGAAGCGATTACTTTTACCAAGATGTGTTTTATTTGCCCTAAAACATTCTTTTAGTTATTAAAAACCGAAAATTCTCCGAATCGTCCTCGCCGTACCTTAAAAGATACGGATTTTGTGATCGAAAATGTATTTGAAATTCTATTATTTTTTTTTTTCATAATAAAATCAATACTGGCTATCTTTAAGTAATACCTATTTGTATTTTCGTATTACGACGGTTATCAAACTTATCATTTTGATGTTTTTGTAAGTAGGTACATAAATATTAAAACTTTATTTCATTTTATTTTGCATCGACTAAACTAACCTAACTTACAATATTAAGTATAAAAACATTGAAACATGTTTTTGGTTTTTGCACTTATTATCAAGGTTCATGTACAAAAACGATAAAAAAAAAAGTGAAATTGAAAAGTTTTGATTTTAACAATAGAATATAATATATGTATTGAAAAACACACAAAATGTTAAATTCTTATTAGAATATTGTTAACAATGTTTAATTTAAAATTAAAAAATATACCTATTACGGAAAACCGAACTTCTGTAAGTTTTTCTCCCAAATGAAGTTTGTATTACTTACTACACACATTTTAAAAGAAAAGGAAAAATCGAAAGGTTGCTAAACTAGAATATTGTTCCATTGTGTAATTAATTATTATAATGTAAGAATAATGTATACAATATATACATTAATGGATAGATAGTTCAAAACTATATTTATATTGGTTTGACCTGTTTTTTTTTCATAACGAGCCAATAATATTACACATTAGACATAGGTAATTATAATATGAAAAATAGATAATGACAAGAGTAGGTCATTTTACGTCAACATAATCAGTGACGTACGTTATACGGATATACTCACCTATAAATTATAATGGGATATCTCGGTGATTAGTGTTGAGCAGGTTTAGTGTTTTATCGTGAAAAAAAAATAAATTTTGTACTACCTAAACCTAACCTAACTGATAAATCCTAAATTTCATGAAGTTACGAACAAATTAAATAAAAAAGTAAAATACCTAGTAAAAATAATGTATATTTATATAGTATATACTTACCTATAATATGTATTATATTTATTAATTTTGGCCTATATTGATATTTTGTTGAAAACAATGTGAAAACTGCCTGGGTATATTATGTATTTATGTATTTTGATTAATTAATTGTGTTTGAATTATTGTCTAATCAATAATACAATTATACCTATATTTAAATTTAAATTATGCATTTTCATGTTTAGGCAAATATTTTTCTCAATGCAAAACTCAAACAGCCGAGTTTGACGAATGTATAATGAAAGCAATCAATAATGCCAGATCATATTTTACAACAGGTACAATATTATTTATACATTTTACATTGGTACCTAAATGATAATTAGCATATTGTAACCAGATAGAGAAGCGAGAGAATTTTAAATTTGTTACAAAACCGTTATTCTAAGTTTCATAAGACGATATAGACTAAATAGACAGAAATTAACAGATTTTATTGAGTGATTTTAAATCGAAAACACTTAATCAACTGTGTTCAAAATGTTATTTAGGTAATACAATTTTAAAATTTTTTTTTATTATTTTTAGGTGTACCGGAACTCGGAATTCCTCCGTTTGATCCTTTTTTTGCAACAGAAGTTAGGCAAAGTAAAAGAGCTCGTTTGCTGGGTTATAAACTTTCTGTACACAATGTTACCGAAAGCCAATGGAGACTATCGGAAATAAAAAAATTCAAGTAGATCGCATAATATATTATGACTGAGTACTTACACCGAAAAGGTCTTTAAATATTATATTACATCATTTTTCAGAACCGACTTCTTGACAAATACAATTAAATTTACACATTATTTTCCCGAGAAGTATTTAGAAGGTTACTATGAGGTTGAGAACACCCTACTGCGACCTGGAGTCACGACAGTAGGCCAATTCAATATGACTTTGTGTAAGAATTTGATTATCAATTGTTAAACTGTTGTATTTCGTAATAAATCCTTGATAAATATTTAACAAATATAATATGTATTATACCTATCAATAGAATAATACAAAGTCTAATAACAGTTCATTTTGTATTTTGTCTCATAAATAATTTGTTTAGATGACTACATTCAAATAATGACTGTAAGCAAACCGACAAATTCTAATCAAATTAAAGTATCAGTACAGATTCAAGAAATTGGAAACATGTCTTTGCATATCAGCAATCTTTCGAGAGGAAGAGTTCTTGTTGGTGAGTTTTTTTTTTTACCCAGTGGTGTATTGGAGGGTATACGGGAGTATAAGGCGTTACCGAAATTGTATTTGTCAATCAAAGCGTATACCTTTTTTTTAAAAATAAACCAAACGTAGGAATACGAGCGTAAGTATACTGATAAATGATAACTGATAATAATATATTTTCATCATTGTTGTGCTCGTTGCCCAAAAACATTTTTTTCAGATAATAAATTTAATATAAATATCTTTAATCTTTATTATCTATGACAACTAAATAATGTATACATGTTCATCATATCCTTAGCCCGTACACAAAATTATGATTAATAAGCCAATCCGAGGGTCGATTTTATCAGATCTATATCAATCGTCAATCGAAACCTATCCGTCTGTATCCGCTTCCAAGAATACTGACATCTAGACATTGGTTAATCTCTTCATGTCTTAATTTCCTCTGTATCCCATCTGTTATACTACAACCATTCTATCGAAGTCACACTTCCCACCCACCGAATGTATTCACTCCCACAGGAGTACTTAGGGTCGGGGCGGAGCCCTATAAAAACTGATTTCTAAACGTTTTTACCTGTTTCCTTATCTCAACGAACTTCTCCGTATTCTTATTTTTTCAGTATCCTACCCGTCATATTACCCACCCTCCGATTATATTCGTTTCTGAAAATACTGGCGTCTAGACATTCCCCGATTCCATCTAATCTTAATTTTCCCTGTACCCTATTATCCCACTGGCTCCCAAAACACCCCGAGCCTAAATTAACTGATATTTAGACATTCGATGTATAATCCTTTTTCCTGTATCTACTTGGCCAACAGCTCGTAGTATAATAAAATTATAAAATATCTATTTTAAATTGTACGATTTCATTTTATAAATATGAAGTTATATAATTTGTATTTATTGTGTGAGTATTTGAAAAAAAAAAAATATATAATATTAGAAACAATTAAAAGAATGTGGTTAAAATAAAAAAAAATGCTGATAAAAGTACATATTTTGGAATTCAGTGTAAAAATATTTAAAAGGTATTTTCATATTTAGGACGTAGTGAGAAAATATTTATTTGCCATAAAATATCATTCAAAAGTGCATGTACCTAAAAATTAATTAACAACAGGGAGCTGATACAAATGTTTAGTAGTAGTGATAAAGACGCAAAAGTATTTTATACTTTATTGATAATATTTACAATAGAGTATAAAATGAGTAAAGTAAATAGTAATAGTTAAACATGTTGATTTTTTTTTAAATTTTTTGCCGAAAATAGATTATTGCATTGTATTTTGTCTATTATATATGTGGGTATTTGTCTTTCCCGTTATTACTAAATGCTTTTATCGGATCTTTCTTGAGTGGAATGAGCTTAAACTTGGGAATCGGGATTGTTTTATGAGCAGATAGAAATGATACAAATTGGATTGACTTTCACAATGTTGTTACGAAAAGACGAGGTTTTTATAGTTTTAAACACTCCTACAGAACCTTTAGATGTATACTCCATGTATACAAAAAATGTTCAAGGATATACCTTTTAAAGATTTTAAATTTCAACCTCAACCATTTTTATAGTTAAATTTAACTAGTTTTTGGAAAAATAAATAAAACTGAATAATATAATAATACTATACAGTTGTTTATTGTTTTATAAAGAATATTTTTACAATACAAAATAAGTGAGGGAAATTTAACTATATTACTGGAGTTCTACTGCTCACGGATGTTTTTTTTATTTTATAAAATATTTCTATATTCTTTATACTGTATAGAAAATATTAATTGAGAATTAATGAATACCTAATATTAATTCTACTCCAGTTCGTAAAATGTATCTACTAACAAACTTACACTGACGAGTTTGTGGTTAGGGATCAACGTCTATTATCATTTACCAGACTAAGAATATATTTTTAATGAACTCTTTTGATAAATATTAATTAATTTTAGTAAACTAAGAGGATTTCTCAAATTTTAAATTCATATCATATAATATAGTAATGCGCATTATCATACAATATTATATATCCATTATAATAGGTATTAGAAAATATAAATAAATAAAAGTAGTATATAACAATGACACAGTGTATTTAAGGATGTTGTGAAAAATAATGGTTAAGTCTAAAAAGAAACTAGCGGTTATTTATAATAATAATAATAATAATGCAAACATTTTTATTTTTCCAACAGAAAACGTTTTGGACAGAATTATAAACGCTTCATGGAGAATTGGTTTCCCTATTGTGAAACCGCTTATAAACGACCTCGTATCTGTGGCTTTTACAAAAATCTGGAATGATATTTTCAATAATTTTGATTTTAACTTAATACTGCCGTAACATATTATTTACTTGTTTATTTTTATTTAACTTACCTTTATATTGCATTATATTATAGTTATTAAGAAATCAAATTTTAAATGGAAAATTATTGAATTTTCTGTAGTTTTTATTATTACTGTTAATTATTATTATTATTTTTTGTAACCTGAATCAGAATTATTGACCTTTGTAATAATATTTAGTCAATTTTTACGGAAAATTTAAAGATTATATTATACTCTATTTGTTATAAAATATATCTTAATTTTTTATTTTCCTAAGTATTATATACAATATGAACATGTAAACAAAACAAAATTGGAAACTGACTGTTTTGATATGTATAGAAAAAGAAGGGTTTCCATTAAAATGTGAAATCTCACAGTGAGTATACAATCAGTAAAATCTCATTTCACTACTCTGATGATTATCTGATGGTGTTCCACAAGACTCTCATCTAGAAGGATCTTTACTATTCCTTATTTTTTTAAATGAACTACCATTGATCCTTGATACCAATATTAATATTTTATTGTTTGTAGATAATGTAAAATTATACTTTGACATTAAAACTGTTAATGATACAAATATTTTACAATACGGCCTTAATAAGTTTTGCCATCTAAATATTAATAAATGCCAAGTAATTTCAGTATTAAATTAATAGCTTTTCTCTCGATAAAGTAAATTCTGTTAAATACTTGGGTGTTTACTTTGAAAACGATTTATCGTTTAAATTAAATCATACAAAATGCTAGTTTTTATTAATAAAAATACAAAAGTTAAAAAATCATATTTACATAAAACATTGTATATATTTGTCATTAGTAGGATCTAACCTTGAATTCGGTCTTGTAACTACTTAAAATATATAAAGGATCTTGATAATGTCTAATATAAGTTTTCGAAAAGAATTGCCTATGTTTCTGATATCTATATCATCAGAGCTACCATTAATGTTGTTGATAACTTCTTGAGCCTAGAGTCACAAAGTACAAGACGTAAATTAATAAATATTATTTTAGTTTACGATATTTTAATCAAGCTCATAGACTGTCCTGAGTTATTATCTGAAATTGATTTTGGTATACCACTTAGAAACACAAGGAACTTAAATCTATTTGTTATTCCTAATTATAACACAAATAGTGGAAATCATACATTAATTTTTAGAGCTTTTGTTTTGACCAATAAGATTTTTTTTATTTCCTTGCAGCATATTTAAATTTCAGACTAGAATTAATAAAATAATTATATTAATATTAATTGTGATAAAATATATTAAATATATGTCAAAAATATTACAATAGTAATTAAATTTTGTAAAAGAAGTATTTGACCGTGAATATAAAAAAATAAAATAAAAATAATTACCTAAATAACAATACAATATTACTGGTTGGTTTTAGATAACTAAACTTATTGAAAATTTCTGAACTTTTTATTTATTACTTTACCCTAAAATGATAAAACATTTCCACTTTTGTGTGTCTTACAATCATACAATTGAAATAGATAAGCAAATACGTACACATCATTATTTCTCTATTATTATATTCATTGTATTATATTTTATGAAAAATTAAAATATGTCAATGAAACCAGATACATTACAACAATTAATTTTAGATTCAGACTGTAGCAAGGAATATATTGGTTTTACAATTTTTTTTTTTTTTTTCATACTATGAACAACTTTCTACCAGAAATCTTGCTCTGATGTTTTAAGTGTAGCAAAAAGGTCATTTTATGATTTTTCAAGAGGGTTTTGAAGTAGTTGTGAAAATCCCGAAAGAAAATTATAGGTAAAATGGCAAAGATTTACAGTGTTACGGCTTTCACTGTTTTTAATTTTTGAAACTCATTTTATTTTGTCCAGAAATAATACTTCTGTTGAAAAATTACAGGAGATTGATTCTGTTCTTTTTACATACATCTACTGACAGTAATTTTTTTAAAATCTAAAACAGTTTTCATAATAATTGGATGAAACTAAACATGACAAAAAATACGATTGTTTCAAATTACAGCAGAAGAATTTCATTATTTTAAATTTGTATGCTTTCTTTCTGATTTCCACCAGAAATATTTTTATAATAGAAAAACAACAAAGATCTTATTAATTGAATTTTTAATTTAGTTGGTGACCAGGAGTTATATTTGAGTTATTTTATAGTTTTTATTTGGTAGGTACTATCTTTGTGAAAAAAAAAATAAATTTAATAAAGAATTTCAATTCAAATTTTGACGAATATTGTAAATATTACGCCCTTTCAAAATATGTATAACTTTGGTTCTAATTGTTTTTCGTTAGTAATAATATATCATCATGTACAGATATTAATTAAATTTATCTTTATATAATATCTACCTTCTCAATTTCTCATCTACAACAGTGGCCCACAAATTGTGATAAGTATGTCAGTCTTTCTAATACTATAATTTGAATGTTCTAAAATATTAATATCATAAGTGTACTAATTTATTCGTATAGTAAGAAATTAAAAACAAATATTTTTATTAGCACTTAAGATTAAAATGTGTTTTGTTCACCAATAATATTGTCATATCATTCATGCTAAGATAACAAGATAACTTATAAAAACAAGACTATAGATTTGTAAATCAAAAGTATTACTATACAATTTTATTAAAACAAATATGATATATTATAATGATTAATTATGATTTTATTACTTTTTTTAGACCTTTAACTTTTTTTATTTTTGGAAGAATTATTTTTTTATCCTTTTCACTTTTAAATTTTGTATCTGTAGCTGAATCCAAACCAGATGTCTTATTTTCATCATTGTCTTTAGTTTCACACTCCAACGATTTTGGTTTGTATAACTATAAAAAATATAAATATTTTAAAAAACAAAATCTCTTATATTTTAATAAATATCATCTAACTTGAAATTCATAATCAAGCCCTTTGCTTTTTATTTTTTCTTTAAAAAGTGCCTCGCGTTTAGATAATTTAGCTTTTTCTTCTACTTCTTGTTCAGGATCTAATGGGGTATTTAAGAGTTTCCTTTGTTTTATTCTATTTTGTATTGTTAAAGGAACAGTGCTTCTATTTTTACGCCAAAATGTATTCTTTTTCACTTCATTTGGAGCAAGATACTTAGCTAAAAAATATGGATTGTTTAAATACAATTATAAATTATAGTTAATATAATTGGTATTAGAACATTGATTTGTCTACTTTTTAGAATTTTCTTATGCATTAAATAGTTATTCATTGTCTCTGCTACTATCTTGGCAACTTCTGGATACAAAAATTCAATAAATCCAAATCCTTTTGCTTTACCATTTTTCTGTAATTTAAAATGTATTATTACCAACCTATTACCTAGGTATTTAAATTTATCTAATTGTCAGTTGAATTTATTTATTTTCAAATATATAATATTAATTGTATATTCTTTAATCTACTAGAATAACTAGATGAAAATCTAAAACATATTTATTTTTAAATTACCTTGCTTTTAGGAATATGAACATTCGTAACTTTACCAAATTGTGAAAAATAACTTTTCATTTCTTTCTCATAGAAACCATGGGGAATATGAGAAATAAACACAACACCCTTTTCACTGCGTGTTTTTGTTTTTTTTTTTACTTCAGGTTCGGATTCTTTGTTTTTTTTGTCAAGCTAAACAAAAAAAAGTAAAAATTATGGCATAGTTTAACCGGCTATATAATATGTAATTTATTTTGTGTATTTCTCAATAAACTTTGATCGGTACATCCTTTGTAGGTGCACTTACTTTAATAAATCCACTCTTGTACATGATGAGAGAAAAAATACACCTAAAATATAACAATTCAATCAAAGTAACAAAATCACAACTAAAAAACGCACAAGCATGGCCAAAAAGTAATTCATATATCATAACACATTTACTTTATCAACATTTGAAATTATTGACATATATAAAGTTAGTAACAATATAATTAGAGGTTAGGTTTAATTTGTATACGAAACAAAACAACTTTAGGTACCCCTGTGTTGAAGTATTGGAAAAGTAAATAAAATAATGCTTATCAAAGATTACATAATATTTTTTTATTGATAAAACGGTGTTCCGAGTTTTCATTTTGAATTTGTTTGCTCATTGCTATAGTGCGTTAAGGATGTACAATAATCGATGTTCTATTTTTATTGATTTTATTAGCTTTTTCGTAAGCCAAATATTGATTGAATTTTCAAATAGATAATAATATATACCTATGATGATAATATTACTTGTAAAAAAAACATTGCTAGATGGAAGCATAACAGTCAATGACCAATTTGGGCTCGAGCCGGCCTAAAATATAAATCCCGTATTTCTCCGGCAGTCTATTTATAGTCAATCGAGATCGCTATTAGATTTTGCAGCATTGTCGGCGGACCACGGTCTTATCCAACTTCAGCATAATGGCGGTAAACTATTTTTTTCATTCATGTTAATTAATTTTATTATATTTATTATTAATGTTGAGGTTTAAAACCAATGGCCAAGATGTATTTAAATGTATATCAAATTTTATCAGGAATTTAAATTTACGATTTTTATTGCAATATTTAAACCTGTAATTTAATAAAAATAAATAAAATAATTGCCTTTTTTTTGGAATGATTACAACTTTATCATTTTGTTCAAAATTAAATAATGTATACCTCTGTTTATTTATAATCATCTTAATTCTAATCTTGGTTTAATTTACTCGCACAAAAATGCTTTGTATTTTGTGTACACCAAATATTTCGAGTAATATTCACATCAATGTGGTAGTTTAATATTATATTTTTCATAGGTACTTTTAATTAAAGAAATTATACTTTTGATAGACTCCAATAAAAAGCAACACATACTTTTTTTTTATTAAGGTTAAATGAAAAATTGTATTTTATTGTTTTGAAATACTATACTATATTCATTATTGGTGTATCACATTTAATATTAAGAATATCTAATTAATAATTGTATTAAATATTTTATTATATAATACACCTATTTATATTTAAATTCCTGATGTATATTTTAAATGCTTATTTTAATATAAACTATTATACATACTGTATATTCAAGTAACAAAAATAAATTATACAATGTATTTTGATGTGTTTTTATTTATGTACCTACTAAATTTTTTTTTATCTTTGTGTTTATCTTTGTCACCCTTTTAATCATCCCAATGTATGCTTCTGTTTTAGACTTTATTGGGTATCCAATTAATTATTACAATGATTGCTATTAATTTGATACATCGTCTTAGTCCAATCTATTCATTTGCTCGATGGACACTGTGTTCCACAGGGTGAGTATTTTTATAAATCATTGTTTTTTGTACAAGTATTGACTGTTGCCATTTTCAGAGTAGTTTATTTATTGTATCCAATGTTTTAAATATATAATATGTTACAATTAGTGACATGCCTATTTATTTATTAAATATGTATAATCTTTAACTTCCAAAATAAAATGTATAATTATTTTTTTCAATTCATAGACTTGTTCGTTATCTACATCCTACAGATAAAGAACTTAGACAGTTGTTAGGTTTAAAGAAAAAAGATTCTAAACAAAATAAACGTCCTTTGAATGGACATGGTGAAAATATTGATGTATTTCAGATCCCCAAAAATTTAGATATTGATGTAAGTACCTATTAAATATATATTCTTATATTTAAAATTATTTTGTAATACAAATGAATTATTACATTTATATAAACTTAAACAAACATATTACTTAGGTATATATAATTTTAACTATTTTTTTTAGTGGTTTGGTTTTTTATTATTATTGTAATATTTTAGTTGGAAAGTCAACCTATTCAAGAACATGAAATATATCAGCTCAGATATTTTATGGAATACCAATGGCTAGTAAATTTCTCTTTGTATGCAGCTCTAGTCTATTTTACTACTGAAATATACTCTTACTATTCTCCTATTGAAAATGAAATTAATCTCAGTATGCTGTGGTGTGCAATTGTTATAGTTTTTGCATTGTATCCTTTTATTGAACATATTTATCAACAATGAGCTCTATATTTCACTAAAATATATGAAATATTTATAATAATTATATATATATATTGAGTAAAAATTAATATTAATGTTAAATAAACATTAAAAAATAAAATAATACAAAATTGTGAGTATTATTAGTTATATACCTAACCTAATCTAACCTATAGAATTTGGTATTATACATTTCTGATTTATGACTTCTTACTAAAACAGTTCATAGTATATATGTAATAATAATATTAATTTTGGATTTTATGTGATTATAATATAATATTTATGCTCATTTTTTCTCCTATGCATAAAACCATTAAAATGTTATTTTTCCTGAATTTTAAATATCTAGCAAAATTCTCATGTCTTTGACTTTGTTATATTTCCGTGGTGGTTGTTATTCATCTGGTGAACGTTCAACAGTTATAGTTGCTGCTTTTGTGTATTTAGTTATTGCTATGATTATATTAATCATAGACGAGTCCAAACTTGATGTTCGTTTAGATACTGCATATAAAAGCTTTAATGAGAGCTCAATAGAGTTTTTACACAATCATGGCCTTTCTTCACAGTAATTACCAAAATAATTTAGTTTAGTCTATTTTGATTATATGTATATATATTTTTTTTCAGGGGTCCTGCATCAAAATTAATTGTAAAATTTTTCCTTGCCTTATGGTGTGCTGTTACAGGTGCTATGTTCGTATTTCCAGGAATACGTACTGCAAAAATGCACTGGGATTGTCTTAAGTAATTAAATTTTAAAAAATTACTGTAAATAAATCAAAATCTATTGCATTAAAATATATATTTGTCTTAAATTAAATTAAATAACTTTTTTTGGTTTTAGGTATTATGAATGTAACAAATTATACGGCAAATATTTCACTTATAGTACAACATTCATGAAAGGTTTTATGAATTTTAGTTTGATAACTCATTTTTTACTCGTTCTACTTTGGGTTAAGCCAATTGCTGTAGATTTGTTGACAGCAAAAAATCTTTCCGGATTAAACAAACCATTGTAAATATATTTAAGTACACATTAAACATAATATTAATTATAATTGATAAAAATAATGTTAAGGCTTACATTAGAACAGTTTGAAAGTTTAAGATGTTGGGTGGTCGTATTAGTAGTAGTTCAAAGGTTATACATGATGCCTATGTTCATGCAAGCTTATCTAAATATGGCCCAGGAGCGTCTAGAACAACAAAAAAAGGAAGCAGGGCGGATCACCAATAAAGATTTGCAAAAACAGGTAATATTTTAGTTTTTTTAAACATTATGTAATGATATTTAAAATGTATTATTTTTTTAGGTGTCTGTGATTTTTTACTATATGTGTGTTGTAGTACTGCAATATGTCATACCACTTATAATGATGTTGTTCTTTATATTCTTTTATAAAACATTAGGTAATTTTCTGTGAATACGTTTATAAAAGTGTTGCAAAACTTAAGTCTACAAAAAAATTATCATATAATGTTTCCCATCTGCCCTCATTATGCTAGTTTATTTGCCTCCACAATATACTATTTGGTCAATTTAAATTCTACAACTATCTCATACACTAACATATATATTATTCACTAATTTGATAAGTGCGGTATTTAGTGAAGTAATTTTTTATTTTATTTTTTTATACATTTCTCACCTGTAAGAATCACAATTAGCATTATGTAAATTAACAAATTAACCACATTAATTGAATGTTAGTCTTGTATTAATGTATTCAAACTAACTTTTTTATTATCCATATGCTGGGCAAGCAGCTACACCATTCTAGGTACAATACCAAGGAGACAAAGTTTCTGTTCTCTTGAAATATATTATTGCAATAAAAAAGAAAAACAGAAAACAATTAAATACATTTATTTACTCTCTTTTAGATTTTAGTTATTGCAACTGCTTTACAAAAAAAAAAAAAAAAAATGTAATGTACTAGTTTTTATTTTTTAACAGGTAATTTTAGTTGGACACAAGTTATTGTTAATTCATCACCCACAATATCTAATAGTATTCAAAATTCAACAATTGAATCAAATATAACTTATTTTTCTATTCAGTCATTAAAACAAGTAATGTTAATTAATTTTATTTAAATTAAATATATATAATTTGTATATGTGATTAGGTGTTAACTGCAGATGTCTACAGAGGAATATTCGGATTTGCTACATGGTGGATATGTTTTGCCTGGTTTTTATCTTTATCAGTTGGTGTTTTATACCAATCTTACTTAACAGTCTAAGTAATAATTCAAATTATAAAGTGTACATATAACTTTTGATGGTAAAATCTGTAAGAAAATGAATATGTTAAGTTGATTAAAAAAAACAACTAGTAGAGAATTTTTAAGTTAAGAGAAATATATATTAATTTTATTAGTTGAACTTTATACAATCAAAATAAAGTATTATTGTTTGAATGTAGTTATTTAAAAGTATTCATATAATATATAACATAGAAGTATTATTTTGTAACATAAACAAATTTTATAAAATGTTATTTGGTTTTATTATTAATTTATTTACACCAATATATATATGCATATAAAGAATCACATTTTGTTTCATCAGTATTCTTATTTATAAAATATTATATTTTGATAAATAATATTAATACAATTTAAAATTATGGACTTGAGCATTAATAGCAACCTCATTGGCTGGACCAATTGCTAAAATGGTTGCTTCATCATTTTCTGTAAAAGCAGATGTTGGAATGTCATATAATTCGCATTTCTTTTGAACACTTTCTAAAGTTGTTAAATCTGGTACTCTTAAAACAATTCTAGCACATTTAGAGGGTAATCCACCGCGTATTTTATTTTTATTTAGTGCAATGACTGATACAACTGCACACTAAAACAATCATAATTTTATTTTATTACAAATATTGAATAATTGAATACAATGATAAATTACTTAAATTTATTTTATTTAATATTGATTTAAATAATTAAATATATGCTTGAAGATTTTTAGTAAACAAATTAATGTGTTCACTTGGGGCAGGACCTATAGCCATTACGGTTTTGGATCTAGGTGCAACTTGTGTACGACCGGCATCTACCACTATATATGTATTCAATTTTTTGTCAATAGCTACTTTCTGATAATTCAACATAGTTTCTTCATCTGCTATTTTGAATATATCTACTGGTTTATTGTTTGACTCCCAGGCATTTATTTCTTTTGGGTTTAACCTCAAACTTTCTTCATAACAGTGTACAATTGCATGTGAACACTAGACAATAATACATTATTTTTAAAATTCATTCAAGTTGTTAATTTTATTAATCTAGTGGTGGTTTTATGTTTGTTACTTTTCTGTTATGAATAATAATGAGTTGTAAGTTAAGTTTGTTTTATGCCGGAAGGGGCATGATTGGTGGATATTTTTTTGAGGGTTTCTGTTGTTTTATATGAGTACTATAGATCAAAATGTGTTATAGTTAAATTGGTAACTAAAATAACGAACATTATTATTATTAAAACCACAAAAATTTGCATAATTTCTATATTGAATAGAATAATAAATGTTCAAAGGATAATGGGAAGGTGAACCCCATTAGCCTCTAATAATTTGAAATTTTCCTCCTTCTAAAGGAAGATGTAATCATCATTATTTTATGGAGTAATTATCAAGAGATTGGTTTTATAAACTACACAAAATTCTGTAATTACAAATTTAAATTTATGATAAATATTAAGAAAAGATAAAAATAATAGTAAGAATAAAATAAATAAAGTCTCAAATTGCTATATAAAAAAAGGTTATTTGTTTACAAAAAATAAATTTGTTAATACACTTTTATTTTTAGAACTCAATGTATAAATACTATAACTTACTATAAATGATCTTTAAACCCTTATTGCATATATACAAATTTCAAAATACACTTGTCTTATAACGAAGTATTTTATTACTTCAAAATAATTAAAATATATGTTTTATGGAATTTTTTAAACTCATCATGATGAATTATAAATATTAAAAACGTATCCTTTATTGTATCATTCCTCCCAATGATTAATGCTAATTTTGACATATTTTAGAATCTTAATGATATAACTAGTGAAAAGTTTAGTTTGTATATGATGGAAATTATATAATTAACATAAAACAATTTACTTTATTAAAAATAAATAACATTGACACAATCAATACTCCTATTGGATATCGGATTATTTAACCATTATGAAAATGTATTTCCTAAACCTATGATCATTTTATTTATTTAATTCCAAAAGACACAATTAAAAATTATTAACTTGTAAAATAATTGTTTCTAATGACATCGGACTTCTCTATTGTAATTTGTCTGAAAACATATTTACTACATCACTTGTATTCAAAAAATATATCTCACTTGTGCTGCAACTTTTCCTTTACCCATTTTCAAATCATGGCGAACCAAAAGTGCCATTTTGAATTCTCCATTGACTTTTGTTGAAGAGTTTGACTTTTGTAAATTTTTATCTGTAATTTTGTTGTTGAGTCTACTCCATTTATTTTTAAAAACATAATTTATTATTGTATGAAGACTTAAACCTATTAGTATGCCAATAGTTATTCCTTTAAAAAATGTATCAGTTACCCAAAACATATTAAATATTATAATACCAATATAAAATCAACAATTTAATATGTTAAAATAATAGCTAAATAACAATAGAAAATTAAGTATAAAAATATTTAGGGGGTCAATAGTTGTGGCCTGTAGAACGTTATTAAAATAACTTGATACAGGTCTCTGCTAATATTTAGTTTTTTTGATACCACTAATAATGCCACTATTTATTTTGTAATCATATATCGCCTATTACATTTTTTTCAAATAATTGTCTTGTTATCGTATTTTAGGAATCATTGGGCTTTCATATCAAAACATACCATATCATATCTTGTAACTCATATCATATATCATAACTGTAAGCGGAATCTGCACTCTACAGTGTCTGACAATTCATTTTTTTTTATGTTCGATAACTACTTAGTACATGTATATAGCTTTTACGTAAGAGATATCAGATAAGTCATAATCCTTAAATTTTTGCTACACACCTTTGGTCTTGTGTATTTGTCATAATATATTTTGTACATTTTTGAAGTAATATTTCTAATAATACTACCTATCAGCAATATGCCCAAAGAAACAACACTAACATTAAATACTTCTCCCGCAACACCAGTTCAAGGGCTGTTCAGAAAACGAAGCAGTAGACCAGTACACATTAAGTCATGGACTATTATGTTAAGCAAAAATGGTTTTGTCCGCTGTCATCTTCAACATTGTCGATACATTGCTTATTGTATTGATGACATGAGGGAGCATTTTAAAACGTGTCGTGGAGAAGTAGCTGGCAATTTTGTTTGTCCTACGTGCGGCGGTCAAACAACATCTAAAGAAGCTCTTGATTATCATAAGCAAAATAATCATAAGGATTGTGACTTAATGTCTGTTGTTATAAAGCCTACACTCACTGACCAACAAGTAACGTCATGGCTAACTGATATTAAAACTCGTGGATACACACAGTGTTTAATGCCCGAGTGTCACTTTATCAGTTATAAACTTCCTGAACTTGAGTCACACTATGAAAAGTGTTTGGGTGAAGATCCTGATACATCTTTAAAGTTTTTATGTCGCCATTGTAAAGGGTACACATCATCACAACAAGCTCTTCAGTTTCACCAAAACAATCATCATAAAGATTTGCTGTTTCCAATAAAACAAGTAAATATTATTGAATAACAATTTAAATTAAAAAACATAAAATATTTTATAGTTGAAGGGTTGAAGTCTGGCTTTTGGGTTCAAAAAAAAAAGTCAAAAATCGAAAAACCATCCCTATATTTTCGCTTCCTTTTCTTTACCTCATTCACATTATTCAGTCAGAATATCCATTTTCTAATTTCTCGCAATAATATGCGACATTTCCTTTCACATTATATAAAATAATGTAGAATATTAAATTAAAGTACAGATGCATAATATATAATGTAATAAACTATGTATAATCGGTCTCTTTTCTATAAACTATTATGTGAAATAAAAACAGCGATCATACAGCTGCAAAATCATACAGTACCATGAAAAGTGGTCGGAAAATTCAAAAATCGAAATTTTAACTACTAATAACTTATCTATCTTTTTTTGATATTTTGACACCGCTATATTGATACTGAAATCATATTGCGGCAACCATTGTCATGTAAAAATTTCAAATAAAAGAAAATTTCGCATATTATTGCGGGGAATTAAAAAATGGATATTCTGACTGCATGGGAGTGGAGTAGAAAATATAAAATATGATAATTATGATAAATATCATTGTAACCGGATTTCAACCTTATGGTTTGCTTGGTTCCTATTTAGAGTCTTAGCCTATTTATAGGTAAGTAATAATAATGTTAATTTTTATTTTATTAGCTTATTTAACTTTTAAGTTGGATGAAATATAGAATTATTGTTTCATACAAACAACACTCATTATGTTTTCATCTATTTACTTTAAGTTAGCTTTTTTTTTCTGAAGTGAATATATTGTGGCTTATATCAAGTGGCTCTTGATTTGAGAAAAAATGTCTAACCATCGATTAATATTTCATATAACTTTTGATCAGATTTTCTATTTTCTCATTTACAGACAAGGTAGATAATTTTCTTATTGAAAATTAGTTGCAATTAAAATAAATTCCAACTTATTTTTAACACCGTTAAAATCAAGAAATTTCCAACATTTAAAAATCTCATTTGCATATGGTATTTATTTGCCAAAAGTAAAACTAATCTAAATCTAGTATGCTATTTTATAGTATACATCAAATGTTGTATTTACTTGTTAGATTAAATTAAACCATTAAAATGTTTATTATACTTGATTAAAAGGTATTTTAAGTTCATTAATCATTATTTGTTGAAGGATAATAATGATGATTTGGATGAAGACAATCGAATTAAGTCTTATCCTATGGGTCAGTATGGTCATCCAACATCAAGTATAATAAATGCTGCTAGCAAAGTAGTTACATACTCTCAGTGGAAAATTCAAGAAGATTTAGCTGACACTGAATCTGTCTGTTCTGAAGTAAATGTTAATAGTCCAACTGACTCACAGATCAAATCATGGATGTTAGGCTTGAAAAATGGTTATGTTCTTTGCAATCACAATTCTTGTAAATACATGTCATTTGATGTGGATGATATGAATGATCATTTTGCTACATGTTATGAACCATATCTCGATGATGAATTTGAATGTTCTATATGTGGTGGTAGGACCACTTCTTCAAATAAATTGAAAACACATCTATTACATCATCATGATGAAGGTTACAAACATTTGACAGAAGAGGAGTGTGGTTTCAAATTGGTAGAAACGGAAGACGGTTTAGAATTACTACCTGAAAATAAACAATCTGTGAAACGTAAGAATGAAGAAGTGGAAGATGAAGAGTATGAAGAAAAACATAATGTAAAACGCAAGTCATATGATATACCATATAACCATTTAACCAAATGGCGTGATGAATTGTTGCGTAACAAATTTATAAGGTATCAATTAATGATATATACAGGATGATTCACTAAGCATACTCACCCCATTATTTTGGTTAAATTTTGCATATATTCAAATTCTGATTTTTGGAATTTTTATGTATTGTTAAAGCTGATATTTTTAAATATTTAGATTTTTTATAACATTTAAGGAATATACTGTGGTGATATAAACTTAAGTTTTTCAAATGAAAACCTATATTTAAAATAAAATAAATAGATAGAGTATTACTTTAAATAAATTTTGGTGTAATCAACCTGTTAACGAGATATTTCAGTTTTAAATTTAGCTATCATTTGTATGGCGGTACGTTTTATTAGTATTAGCAGTAAACAGTGGTTCTTAAACTTTTTCGTTTCAGTACCCCTTCATAAAGGTAGCTGTCTGTTAACGCCACTTCTCGTGAAACTATACTTGGCTTGTTAATGCCTTATTGGACTTTGGCTGATTTTTTTTGTGCTTATCAGTCTACACACTGAGTATTATAAAAATCTTTGCCCCATGTTAAGAACCACTGACCTAAACTTAAAAGTAGAATATCTTGTTAACGGGTTGATGGAAATTAAAAATGTTGACACCAACATTTATTTAAAGTAATATCTATTTAAGTTATTTTTAATATAGATTCTCATTTGAAAAACCAATGTTGGTATTACCGCAGAATATTCCTTAAATTTTGTGAAAAATCCAAGTATTCAAAAATATCGGCTTTAACAATACTTTCAAAGATTCCAAAAATTAGAATTTATGTAAAATTTAACGAAAAAAATAGGGTGAGAACATTTGGTGAATCGCCCTGTATGTATGTAAATTTTTTTTACTGGCCATTTAGAGCCACCAAAACTATTTTCTTCTTTCAATCTCTTCCATATGCCTGTTCCTAGTCCACTCCAGTTTCTTCTAGTAATTCCTTGACATTGTCTTATCTTTTTGTAGTTTTCTCTTTGGTCACTTTACTCTATCATACCTATCTGTCAATGCTCTTTCTATCAGCGCGACATACATGGCCTGTCAATTCCATTTTCATCCCTCTAATGAATTGAGCACATCTCTTGAATAATTGGACATTAGTCTTATTTCCATAGATTTTCCTAAAAATTTCCTCTTAAATACATATAGATTTTTCTCATCTCCTCTCATTATTGCCTGTTTGGTACATGTGTTTGTCAATACAAGTCAGATGTACAGTTAAATTTTATTATTACCATGTATATAATGATAGTTAGGCTAAAACAATTCCTATGTATATAATTGGTTTTATATCTTATGTGCATTAAATCTGGTTATTTATAATGTTGTTGGTTACTACAGTAAGATGGATATAACAATGTTATTTTAAAATTAAAATTAGTTTTTACATTCATTTATAAAAATTTTATTGTATCATTTTTGATTTCATCAGATTTCGCTATAATTCGTAATCTACTTTATCTGTAACAGATAATGTGTCGTATAGGTACATGGTTGCCATATTGTACAGGTACTATTGATAAGACGTGTACTTTTTTTTCAGTAACCTACAATATTAATACATTAAAAAATGTTGAAAATTCAGTATATTAAAAAAAATATCATATTTTTCCAATTATAAACAAAGTACTAGATACCTATAACAGATTATTATTCAAAAACACAGTAAACATTATTAGGTTAATATAAAATGCATTATGATGTTATAATAGTTATACAATTAATACTATTGTTGAATTATTTATGTTTAAGAGGAGATGCTTTACTTGCATGTGCTGACTCAGTTCAACTAACAGGCACTATAGAAAAATATACCTTAAGTAGTCTGCATTGAACTTATTTAATTTTGGTTTTAGAGTAAAAGCACTTATTATAAAATTAAAAGAGGATAATATTCCGGTGACCAAAATTATGCGTTTTTTTCCTATTATTCCGGATATAACGTTCAATACATTATTTAGATAACTAATTCATCGTTTTTAATTAATACTGTTTTCTTTTAATTTTATTATAGGTACTTTAACTTTAAAACTAAAATTAAGCGAGTTCTATGCAGACCGCGTAGATTTTGCTATATTGCCTGTTAGTTGGACTAAGACAGTACATGTAGGTGTTCTCAGTATAAAACATTTGTTTGATAAATTTATTTTTCAAAAAATCAATAAAAAAAACTGATATGAAACTCTTAAAGATTGTTGTAAGCAAATTCTATTGTAGCTTATGTATAGTTGTTCTTATATTTTCCTTAATAACAGCTTGTATTTAAAGATTGTTTTTAATACATAAAGGTATTAGCTAGCAGAACTCAATCTGGTACTGATTTCTCCATTTATGATATTTTACTAATTCGGATAGTATTGAGGTATTTGAACTCTTGTGTTTAATCAAAGATCTTATCTCCTATTTCTTATACTTAGGTTACTATGATCACCTCCTCAATCTTCTGAAAATTGAGCATATCAGTAATTCATTCCAGTCTTGTGGTATCTTTTCCTTATGTTTTCATAAAACATTTTATTTCTAATTTTTTTTTTTTTTTTGCTATTAGATGCACAGCTGCAGATTGCAGTTACTTAGCATTGGATATGTTGGAAATGAAGCAACATTCAGATGAGCATGTAGACAGTGTTTACTGGTCCTTCAAAGATCGCAATTTAGAAGATAGGGTAGCCAACTACTGTGATGCATGCCATGGTCATTTCAAAACTGAAAAACATTTAGATGGCCATAAATTAGTATCACATAATAATAGTGATACGTCTAACATAGATAGCTTATTAATAGATAATGAAGAAAATATTGAAGATGATGAAGAAATCGAAGAAATTTTTTAGACATTCACATTTGAGTTCTATACAGTTTATAAATGAACAATGTGTGTTCAAAATATTATAATCTTATATTGTCCAAAAGTTCAATATTATACCATTCAAAAGGCTTTTTACTTATGTCTATTAAATATTTTTGATTAATTTTTTTTTTTTCAGTAGTGCTCCCTACTAAAATGTTTAGTGTAGAATTGAGTTATTTATAATTACTTATAAAATACATACAAAATGTGAATTTTTTTATGATTCAAAACTAGTATTTTTATTCTGTAAGTTATTAAATGATTTACCTTAACACATTATATAACTTTAATGCACTTATTTAGTTGAAAATTAATTTTTATAAATTTGACAAAAATTAGTCATAATTATATCATTATTATTATGATCATAATTAATGATTAACAATAAATTTAATTGAAATGTGAAAAAAATTGCAAATAACTTTAGTGTTTTTTATTTTTACTTAAAACCTTGTAACTATATTAATAATTCAAAGATGGTTGACCTGTGTAAACAATAAATAGTATTTTATTGCTGTTTTATTTATAAAATATAAAAAGGTAGAGTTCACATGGAGTCATAAACCAAATGAGATTACTCTGGCATTTTGGAGTGATTATGACTAGTTCATTCAGTGTGAACTCGATTTTAGTAGGTATATTAGTTTATTTTTGTAATCTTATTAATTTTTTTTGTTTATGTTCAATTTAAATGGTGTGGTTTGGTGTAAATAATAAATAAGTCATTTCAAATTGTATTATACCTAGTACAGTTATAGATATTTTGTCATCTATCTATCTATCTCATCTTTTATTTTTTACAATATTTCATCTATTAGCTAGTAGTTTATCTTTATTTCATAATACTATAGTAGGTAAGTTAATTGATTCACTATATAGTTATTTGTTTTTACTATAAAATTATTATAGTTACCTACTTGTATAAATCATTTTTAAAGTAAAGTATTTCAATTAAAAGTAATACAATCTATAAAACATTAGTTGTAATTCAAATTATGGTGTTTTATCATAAAAATGTTTTATAATTTTATTTATTACTTGTTACATTTTTAAGCTAAATAATACAAATTACAACATTAATGTATTAATTATAATTATTAAGGTTATTAATATACCTAATGTTTTTCAATCTTTTTAAGAAATTTAAGTTTTTTTAAATTCGGAGTGTAGAAATGGATCTATTGGTTGTGTGATCTATGATGTGTGTTTTTGTATTTTTCTGTCTGAACAACTTTTTTATCAGAAATCTTGCCCCGAAGTATAGACTATAGCATCTTTTCCAGAAGGTAATTTTTTCCAGTTTGTGTATTGGTAAGATCATTTTTAATTTTCCAATGGGTTTTCGAAAGTTATAGGTAAAACAAAAAATATTTACGGCGCACTGTGGTGGTACCGTTTTCATTGTTTTAACTATGTTAACATGATGTTTTCTACTAGAAATAATGCTCAAATCCAACAATGACAGGAGATTAATTTTGTACCCTTTAATATTTCCCTACTGACAGAGTAAGTCGTTTTTTGATAAATAAAATATTTTTCATAATAATTGGAAAAAAATAATAAGATGAAATTTAAGATGTTTTTAAATTAAGGCAACACAATGATTTCATTATTTACATTTTTATGTCTTATGTTCTCTACCATAAATATTTCTCCAATAGATAAACGACAAGAAACATTTTTGGTTGAATTTTTAATCTAGTTGGTGACCATAAAAGACATTTTTTGATTTTCTTTTTTTTCAGTTTTTTTTATAATTGAGTAAAACTGAAAAATAAGTAGAAAAAGAGAAAATGTACTTAAATAATTCTTTATTCTACTCTGTTATTTTAAATTTTGTTTTTTTTTTTTTTTAATGTAATTCAGTTTACAATATTCATAAAGACTTAAAATGTCGACAGAAAATTTATATTTAATTTTTCTGGAAGTGGTAAAATTTTTAATTTTCCGAATTTTTTAGGTTATTTTTATTTGGTAGGTACTCTATAGATAAATTATTAGACTTAACAGAAGTATTTGAAAATTTGTTATGAGGTTGAATATAAATCGCACATGTGATCGAAAAAAAATTTAGTTTAATGTAGTATTTTTTTTTTTTTTTATAAGTTTTAAAATTAAATCTTAAAGAAAATCGTACATCCACGTACAACAGTGGCCGCACCTTTCCCTGTTTTTTTTTTTTTCTAAAACAGTGTGAAATGTGTAAAATAAAAAAACTAAATTTAATGTTCGGAAACATATTAGATTTGGCAATGAAGTGCATTATAATGATAAATTATACATAGATTAGATATTTTTATAATAAAGTAAAATAACACAGCTAATATTAAAACAAAATTTAAATACGAACAAAATTATAAATATTCAAAAATTACAATTTGTTTCCATTTTCAAATCACGATTGTAGATGAACAAGAATTTATCAGTTTTACAAAGATGTTTATTTTTATTTTTTGATACTGCGTACACAAATTCTACCAGAAAGCTAACACCAATGTATACCATGCAGACCCTCTTCTGAAAGGAATTTTTCTTGGGGTGGTACTTTAGGAAGGTCAGAATTCCTAAAGGAAGAATTCCTTTTTCTCAGGAGTTTTCTCAACAATTATAAAAACTGAAAAAAACGGACGAAATGTAGGTATTATAGTTGAAAAATATTTCGGCCTTTTTTTTAATAAACATTTTGAAATCAAATTTAAACGAAAATAGCAAAAAACATTATAGCACTTCAAATTATGTATTACCGAATTGTGCTCGGAATCATCTTTCGTCAAGCAATGGTTTAGCGTTGCTTACAGATATAAATGAAATAACCTTATGTATCCTACCTTCCCAACTTCTCACCTACAACAATGGCCGCTCCCATCTCCAGTATCGGCTCTTTTTTCAATTTTCATTTAAATTTGATTTTAAAACGCTTATTAAAAGAAAAAAGTCTGATGATTTTGAAAATTCCACAATATCTAAGTAAGTCCAGTATAAGTATTACCAAGTTTCAAGTCTACGTGTATTTATAACAGAATTATAGCAAACAACTCCCAAAAATTAAGATTTCTTAAAAGCTCAAAAGTGGCTCAAAAGATTTGGCGATGATACCGTAAAAAAGTAAATAAAAAAGGCAACAAAAAATGTTTTATGTAATTTTTCGATTAAATCATTTTTTCTAGTAGAGAACGTCGGCCATGTTTTTATAAAATAACGAAATCGTGAAATTTTTCGTTTTTTCTCATTTAAGTGCTTTTATTTAAAAAATGGCGTCAAAAAACAAAAATAACATCTTTAAATATTGTCTAGACAACTTTAGCTTTTGGAAAAGATGTTGCACGTAAAAATCGGAGCACGTTTACTACGATAAAACGTGTCAACAGACTAGAAGAGAAAAAAATATAAACATCTTAGTAAAAATAAAGCTCCCTCGCTTCGCTCGGAATTTAAAAAAGCACACATTGTATTATAGTAAAACCAAAAAAAATTAAATACAAAAGTCACAATTATGAAATTGGACCTTCTTCAAGTTTTTGGTTTTTGTTGTCACAAAAAAGGTATTAAGTATTAATTAATCTAGGTAGATTAGGTTGATCTTTCTACTGCAGAAGTATCTTAGTAAATAAAATACCCAAAGTGGTCTGGAAGTTTATTTTTTTAAGTTTTAATTCTCAATTCGAGGAAAGTATTGGTTTTATTACCTATGTGGTTCTTTTCTACTTGTAAACAATTTGTCTAGCCACCCAGGTACTGGCAATCTAGTTTCTATCATCAATTTCAGGGGTGGTTCTTAGTGTAAAATGTTTTCTATAGAGGTCATTTTTTTGATTTTCCTTGTACGTCGTTTTGGGAAAATCGATAATATATACCCAATAATGGTTTCTAGGCTCTAACTATTATTTTTGATTTTGTTTATTGTTGTAATTCAGTTAAAAATAGCTGTAGGGAGCTGTAATTTTCACCGAACACTTATGTTAACTCTTCTAGATATGGTACAATTTTCAAAACCCTCCGACGGTTCTCACCTACAACAGTAGCTTACCCATGTGCCTAGTAAAATATGTCTTTTTTTTCTAGTAGTTATGTTAAAATACCATTTCTTTACAAAAAATATACCGATAGAATCGCCGTAGGTATATTGCATGGCTTGTTTCTATCTAATCTAGAATATTTCAATAATATCTTATGTACCTAAATCACTATATTTTAGATTCTGAGTGGAATACGGAAATGTTAAATATCAAATCTAAAGTATAAAAAATAAGCACTATTTAGAATTTAGATGTAAAAAACATGATAAAATAAAAAATACTACCTAATTTATTTAATCTATTAATTATTAACCGTGACGTGATTATTACGTTATCCCTTGTCTTTTAACAAAAATTTCGAAATCGATAAAAACAATTTGGGAAGGTACCCGTATAGAGGGAAAATTTAATGTATATCTGTAGGTACGTAATGATTAATCATTGATAACGAAAAACGATTCTGAAAAATAATTGATAGACTATTTGCGTATTATTTTTAACTAGTTTTAATAAACTTCCAGTACCTATACTATATTAAACATTAATATATATTTAAATTTATTATATCTGAGGTTTCGGTTTGTTCCAGATTTTGAATCAAATTTTAAAACCATTTAAATGTATTTACAATCTGTCAAGTTTTCACACTTATAATATTATATATATGTAGATAATTTGTATGCACTATACAAATAAAATTATACAATATATAATATATATATATATGTATACATATTGTGGGTTTGGTTCAAAATCTGGAATATACCTATATATATCTGTCTCAGCAATCAGTATACACGTTCAGCGTTCGAGTTAGTAAAATGTTAAATTTTAATTTTATACCATGAAATTCTCTAAGTACCGAAACACTGATGAAAATATATATAATATAGATACCTCCTACATATAGATGTGACACTCACAAGTTCAATATTGTAGAATGCTTAGGTGCATTGACTTTGGACTGACGTGTCTCAAATATAAACCATAGTATGGGCGCCTATAACGTAATTTTCAGGGGATGGACAAACTGGAACCAAGTTTCCAAACACGTATTTAAATAAACAATTGTATGGATATAAAAATACAAGACCTCTACAAAAGGTTGGGTTATATGCAATAGTGACTACAGAGTTATGATAGTTCAATTACGACAGGGTGAATAAATAATCAACCAAGATATGCTTAAAACAATTTTTGTTGTAATAATAAATGTCAGACTTAATAAAAACAAATTTTTTCGGGCTTTAAATATTCTCCTGTGCTCAATGCACCTTGGAAAAATTATCTCTTTAATACACCCGATACACTAATCTAATATACTCTAATACACTAGATAACATTTCCTTCAAAATAGGTGCTATACTTGATACATCGGAGCAAGGCTTTTTTCAAAAAGTTGTTTACAGAATGAAAAAACACACTCTTTATAGTAAAATCAACAGATCCCTCGTTATGTTCTGAATCTTAAAGACTAAACATGTAAACATGTAATTTATATTTTTCATTTATTTAATACATTTTATAATCTATATTTACTTTTTAGTGCGTGTTCTCCATTAAAAAAAAAAAAAATCACTATTTGTTTAAAACTAATTTCATTCCAAGTTTAAATAGTTAGGTACCTATTTCATTTTTATTTTTCTTGTTATCAATTTCATTATTACCTATATGGGCTTACGGTAACTTTTAACTTGTTACATTTTAAAGAATTAATTATGGTGATTTCACATTTTTACTTGTTGGTTATTTTTATTAACATGCACTCATTTTAATGAATTGTAAATATGTTGATTATAATTATTTTTTTTAAAAGGCTCTCCGAGCAACTCACAGAGTAATTAAATATACAAATTGGATCATTCCTGCTCCAAAAAATATAAATATACAGGAATAAAACAACTATAACAAAGAAATTTAAAACAGT